ACGCTATCAACCACACAAAACTGTTAAGAGATTGAAAAAAGCGCTCGAAAAGGCTTGGGAAGAGCTGGATCTCCTATACCATCTCGCCACGATCGACGCCACGATCGATCGACGTTTGGACGCCTGTGTAAAAGCTATTGGAGATCTGTTTGAAAAGGAATAGTTTTTATGAATTGCTATGAGACAATAAAAGTTATTTTTAAGAAAAATCTTTGACCTTTTGAGTTGCTTTTTATACAGAGACTTTTTTATATGTAACGGTAATTTGGGCCTACCCTGTATATAAAAGAGCAGTGTCTGTCTGTTTGTCTGTCTATACGGGCATTTTCTCGGCCGTGTTTTGTCTAATAAAGCTAAAACCATATTGGAACCATATTGGAACTTATTGGAGCCATTTGTAGAACCAGATGTAGAACCATATTGGAACCATATTGGAACGTTAGAAAACCTTAGAATATATTGTAGTTGTGCCAGTTCAAAAATTTTTTTAGCTGGGTGAGAAAGCTGGGTGAGAAACCGAAGTTGGGTGAGACACCGAAGTTGGGTGAGACATCGAAGTTGAGTGAGACACCGAAGTTGGGTGAGACACCGAAGTTGGGTGAGACGCCGAAGTTGGGTGAGACACCGAAGTTGGGTGAGACACCGAAGTTGGGTGAGACATCGAAGTTGAGTGAGACACCGAAGTTGGGTGAGACACCGAAGTTGGGTGAGACAATCGAAGCCGGGCCGTGTGGGCCGTAGAGAAGCGCGCTACCGACTGCGCGACGGTGACAAAGCATCTGACCCGAAAAACTCACCGGTTTTCGACTGGTTTTCCCATAAAAGGCTTAGCAGCTTATTTTGAAGCTTTGAAACAGCTTTGAACAATAAACAATGACGACAAGATTACGGTAGTCGAAAAAGAAACATGGTTTAGAAGACGCAATACTTGAGAGGAAAACTCTCTCAAAACAGAAATGAAAGAGTGATTCATTCGAGCGTTAAAACTGATTACGTATCTTCAAATTCAGCAAATACATCAAAAAAAAGAAAAGAATCTCATATTTCTCTCAAAATACAATAGTGTGGCTGGATTTGAATCTAACGATATTTCTACGGGAAAACAAAACGGCACGAACGGCGCAAAACACGGCAAAACATTTTTTTGGGACATCTAAATACCTTAAAATATGTAATTGTTACACTAGAAGTACAATAATTTTTAATGCAATAATTTTAAAACATAAAACCACTATTTAAAAATTAGCATCCCACTATAGTAGTTTTTGTGTAAAATGTAAAATGTAAATGTTCTGGTTTTTGTTTTCGGTTTTTATTTCTCAAAGAACTATAGTGGGATGCTAATTGTGATAAGTGGCCATAAATTTCGAGAAATTGACAGAGACGAAAAAGCTCAGTTATTTAACAATTGTAATTGACTTCAGAAACGTAATTATCCCCGGATATAATGTTCTTTTTTAAATATATCGATTCGAACAAATTACTGGGCAATTTACGAATGAATGCTTGGGATAAAGCTCGATTTTTTTAGAAATTTGTGGAGAGGATCTATTGGGTTGATGGAAAAGTCCTTTCCGATTTTTTGGGAGAGTACCTTAAATTTGTCGAATTTTGACGTTTTATAGCTCATCCTAAAGCTGAATTCAAGACGGATCGATTGGTAAAAACCGTTTTGAGATATCTCTTTTTTAAAAGTTTTTACAGCTATTTTAGTAAAGGGCGGCAGAGCCAAAAAATGGCTGTTTTCACGTTTCGTTAGTTTTCCGTGCAGAAACCTAGGCTAAAAACATGTGTTTCGTGATCAGCGTCAAAAATAACCCCTAGACACGCATTTTCAGAATCTTAGCAAAAAATTTTTGAAAGATATGGTCACCGGTGGAAGTCGAATCAGCGACCCTCAGATCAAGACTGATCTAATACGGTTCCAGTACGGTTCCAGTACGGTTCCAGTACGGTTCCAATACGGTTCCAATACGGTTCCGAACCAGCGACCCTCAGAGCCTTTCCGCCGCTTTTCGCGATTTTCCTTCGTTTTTCTCGGTTTTTTTTGTTTTATCATTTTTTTGATGTTGTTTTTAGGGTACAATGTGTGTCTAGGGGTTATTTTTGACGCTGATCACGAAACACATGTTTTTAGCCTAGGTTTCTGCACGGAAAACTAACGAAACGTGAAAACAGCCATTTTTTGGCTCTCCCGCCCCTTACTAAAATAGCTGTAAAAACTTTAAAAAAAGAGATATCTCAAAACGGTTTTTACCAATCGATCCGTCTTGAATTCAGCTTTAGGATGAGCTATAAAACGTCAAAATTCGACAAATTTAAGGTACTCTCCCAAAAAAATCGGAAAGGACTTTTCCATCAACCCAATATATCCTTTGATCGCTTTTACAATGCTTTACAATGTTTTACAATTTGTTGGCTAAGAAAATTTTACAATTACAATAAAATTGGGAACAATTTTCTTTCTGTGAAAAACATGAAAAACATTTTTAATCAAATTGAACGATAGTAAAATAAACAACACCGACAAGATGTATGTTGTCATCGAGAGGGGTACACGAAAAAATGGGAACAAATCACCGGTAACAAAGGACACAATTAACGGTGAAAAATGGGATAATCAACGGCTTCATTGTGCATCGAGCCACCACCACTCAATGGCTCTTTTTATGCACAATTGCCTTAATTGGGTAATTTTTTTGGTTTTGTTAAAACGATTTGTTTAAAATTTATTTCCAAGAACACTTTAAGGGCCCAAACCTGATCAATGAACAATTGATCTGCAAAATTGTCTGAATCCTTGTGCAAGATTTTTTTTGGTTCTTCTCGGAAATCCGGGTTTTTGCATTGTGAAAAGCTATTATATACAAATCCCAAAGCCGTTTCGATTCTCTTGGGACTGTTTTTAGGACACTAGGAGGTTCTACGACTCGGAAAACTGGGCACATTAGATCTCATTCTGGGAATCATTCACAGAAAAGAAAAGTCACTATGTAAAGTGACTGGCGAGGTGTTCTTTATATGGCCTCGTAATCGCTCGCCTTCTGGCACACCCTTCCGATAGATAGGAGTTCCCTTTCGGAATCACGAAAGGTTGGTTTTTGCTGGTTTAGATTAAAAAGGGCGGCACGGTAGCTTAGCAAAGTTTAAAAACAGAGTTTAGAAAAAGTGAAGAGAACCACAGTTAAGAGAACCACAGTTAAGAGAACCACAGTTAAGAGAACCACAGTTAAGAGAACCACAGTTAAGAGAACCACAGTTAAGAGAACCACAGTTAAGAGAACCACAGTTAAGAGAACCACAGTTAAGAGAACCACAGTCCAATCGTCTAACAAAGTCAAAATTTCAAGCAGTTTTCACAGAAAAATTTTCTACCTTTCAACATTCCCATGCTTTAGATACAATTTGATACATGTGGTCACGTCAAAATGTTTTGGTTTTACTCTACACCAAGTACTATGTGACTATAAAAACTCGGAGCTTTTTCCTATAAAAATAGCTGAAGAAAAAAGAAAAAGATTTTGCAAATTTTACTGCAAAAAAAATTGCTTTACAATTGAAAAAGAAACGGGGTATTTGTGAGGTGGAAATTACTTTCTTTTTTTTTCTGACCTTTTTAGAATGTTTTCTCATTTCGAGAATGGAAGGGGTGAAAAGAGGTATATTGGACAGAGAAAAGGGGCATTTACCATCAATTACCCCACCAACGATCACCAATACGCAGAAAAGCTGAGGACGATCAGGGAAAAACGGAGGGGAAACACTACCCACAGATTGAAAATCTCTTTTTTCTGATTTCTGAAGGAGTTGCAGCTGTAGAGCTGACTTTGATTAAAATTTAACTGTAGCCTTTATTGGCCAGAGGGCAATTTTTCGAAAATCGTCGAAATTTCAGATGCATTTTTCTTGTCAGGATTTTCATTTGGACAAAAACTCAATAGCTATTGGAAATGCCCATATCCGCCTGATGTTTGCACATATCCTAAAAAGTCATCCCCAGTTTGGATCATTGCCTTTTCAGTGCCTTTTACAGCAACCCAGACTACCATTGCCTGACTCAACTAGTGCTTGTTACAGTAAACTGAAACTTTTTCATTTTACCGTAACCAGTTCCCAAATTCTTTAGTCATCGTGATGTGCCTCGATGGAAGTACTCGTCGACAAATGTTGCTGGTTGTGAAAGATCTGAACATGACAAGTCCAGACTATGTTTACATTCTGTTATCAATGAGCTCGGAAGCTTATTTTAGAGCGAGTCAGTTTTGTAACATGAGGGCGCGCGTTGTCGTGGATGAGAACGATCTTTGATTTGGAGGGCCCATTTTTCTTCAGGGATGCATTCACCTTTCCCAACTGTATTTGATTGCATTAAGGTTCGTCTTGCTACCCATAAACTCCCAGTACACCACTCCCTCCATATTCCAGAAAACGCCGAGCATAAACTTCTTCTGGTGCAAATCGGGCTTAGGGTCACTTTCTGGAGTTTCAATAAAAGAAGTGAAGTAAAATACCAAAAAATAAAAAGCTGGAAGCATAATTTTTTCGCAATAATTTCAGGAAATGTTGAAGCCCCTTTCAGCTGGTTCAATGCTGTTGTTTTTTTAATCTGCGAGTCCCGCGAAATAGCCGGCAGTTTTCAATTCACCAAATGTTGTCGTTATATTTGGGTGTCCGGAATGATTACAACCAAAATATGAAGGACCATTTGAAGCCAAAGAAATCCGAGGATCTAAATTACTCGTCCGTGATTGTTGGTCCATATTTCTAAACATTCGCATCTAGAGTCATCTCTACAGTTAATCATACTTGATGTAGGCAAAATAGTGGCCGCCAGGAGCACTTCTGGCATGAACCGAAAACCGTCACCGTCACCGAAAACAACTCGTAAACGTATTCGCTCTATAAATTTTAATTAGGTAAACAAAACACAATGCAACCTCTTCTTTAGTTAGCGCCTCAACCGCTTTTTGAGTCAGCGATTCACCGGCACGTACAGTTTAATCTTTTTCATCATCAGAGTTGAGCTTGTTGTCACCAACAAATGGATTCAAATTGAGAACGTGTGGAAATGTCATTCTGAAAAAGTAAGTTCAAAATTACCAAAAATGTTGCATGTAAAATACTAACCGATACATAGCCTTTCGAAATTCGGAAGTCATGTCGAGTCGAAAATTGTCAAATTGTGTACATTAAAAATTCTAAACTTTAAATATTAAACTAAAGATTTGAAAGTAAAAGTTGTCAATTGACGCTTAAAAATTTGAAAAAATTAGTCCTTGAAATAAACTGAAACTGCATGTTTGATGTTTGATAGCTTTAAACTCAGCGAAAGCTCTATGTCACTGTGTAAACTGTTCAAACAGGTTTTCTAGCTCATTTACAACCGGTAAGCATTAGTTAGTTGGTTACTTTATTCATCCAAAAATTTTGCAACATTGACGGGTTCTGGTAATTTCAAACTCAAACATCACCGGTTCCCATTTTTATTTGACCATAATCTCGATATCAAAAACCTTCGACTCCTGAAGAACAATCAAGTAATCAAGTTTTCAGGATTAACCTCCCCACAATAGAGAAAAAAATGAATCAGGATATTTTCAAAACTTTATTAGAAGTTTAACTTGTTAAAAATGACTCTTAATAATAACGAGATTAGCAAGGATAACAGCAAATGATTAATTTGATATTTTTTCACCGAATATCACGTTGCATTGACATTTTGTGTAGATTTGGCGATAGATTGGCTTGTTCTTCCAATGTGCCCGACCATGCCAGATGCGATCAAAAATCAGTGATTCCCAATAAAGATTTTTCATCCCTCGTTGATGACGGTGGCACAAAACGATGTACTCAATGCCAGGTCTAAACCAAACAGTAACGTTACCTCAATTGAAAAATATCTCGAATTGCGATGTGTTGTGGGGAGGGTGGATTTCCTTGTGGATTCCCCGTCGCAGACAAATGGGGACACTAAAGAAATGTTTAACATGTTTTACAAACAGAAATGTTTAACTTTTCGCCTTAATAAGCTTTAAATCTAATAAATATTATGCATAATCTCAAAAAGTCAACTACCTCTTCTCCAAAGTAAGTCGAAGCTATTGATAATGTCTCAGATGGATTTGCATGGTCGTCCTCTTCAATCGTTTCCTGCTTGATTTGAAGGGCCGTCATTTCTCCTTCAAGTGCCTGATTTATTATCTAAAATGAGAAATTGCAAGATTTATTTACAATCACAAGCAAATGCCCTCAATTTTTTCGATCTGAATGACGTCGATGACGTCGATGACGAGCTGAATAGCAAACGTTGTACATGCGGAGAGAGGCCTGATGTTGATGGTTCATTTGGGGTCTCTTCTAGCGATCGTCTTCTCAATGGAACACGCTTCGGAGTTCGAAAAGGCGAGAAACGGCTATATTGCAAAAAAATTTACTCTTAACGTATAGAATTAAGGTAACCTACTCTGTCTGAAGCGGCGTAGCGTCATCCATCATTGAGACCAATGAACCATGAACCTTGGGTTATGTTGGCTTCTGAGTGGAGACCCAAATCCGTTGCAAAACTAAATTAGAAAACTTGGATTCAGATCTACGATCAATAAATCATAAATCATTAAATGTTACATTTCTCGCGGCTTCGTCTCAGAAGACATTGGTGATGAGAAGGTCCTATCTTGGGATATGTTGATGGCAAAGTAAGATAAATCCTTGGCCACGTGTTGCGTACGTAGAAAACGCTTGGCCAAGTATTGTTCCTATAATTAAAATAGTAAAAAATAAATCAATATGTTATAGCATTTACGTAGAGGACGTTCCATTCACGTTGTGGCAATCCAGGTCGACTTGATATGATCCTCCTTTTTTAGGAGAACAAGCCTCGTATTGTCTGGTAACGAGTTGTTTTCGGTGACGGTGACGGTTTTCGGTTCATGCCAGAAGTGCTGCTGGCGGCCACTATTTTGCCTACATCAAGTATGATTAACTGTAGAGATGACTCTAGATGCGAATGTTTAGAAATATGGACCAACAATCACGGACGAGTAATTTAGATCCTCGGATTTCTTTGGCTTCAAATGGTCCTTCATATTTTGGTTGTAATTTTGATTGTACAGGGTGTTCCACAATTACTGATACCCCGACCCCTCATCATAAAAACATTTAAATTGTCCAACGCGAGCGATTTATTGACTTTTTTTAAAGTTTTTCTTGTTTTAAACATGTTTTCATTTAATAATATTTAAAAAAATTGTCCTTTTTTAAAAATGGCGAAGCCCTCCAGCTTTCGCGACTTGATCATTTCTTTTCACAAGAAAGGTATTCCGGCACGGTCGATCCGTCAACGACTGGGAGTGACAAAACAACTTGTTTTGCGAACATGCAAACGTTTTAAGTCTCTTGAAACAAATCAGGATCGAAAGGGACGTGGAAGTCTTGTAACTTCGGCTGTTAAGACTGTTATCAAGAACGTTCGCGAGAGAATAAGGCGCAACCCAGAGAGAGATCTGTTCGTCAAATGGCGCGTGAAATGAAAGTTCCTGTGACTTCGATGCATCGAATCGTTCGAAAACGCTTAGGAATGAAAGCTTTCAAGAAAAACGAGTGTCACGGAATTACCGATGCTAAAAACTTAAGAGAGAACAGCATTGTGCTCAACTTCCTGCTCGGTTTCCTTGAAAAGCTCACCGAAGGATTCTTTTCACCGATGAGAAAGTTTTCACGGTCCAGCAAGTGTTCTTTGTTGAAATCTCCCTGATCACCTCGGTTGTTTGTTTGATTGAGTTTGATCGTGAACTTGTGTCTTGTCAGAGCTGTTCGAAGAGCGCAGGCGGCTTTCAGATGTAGGGCTGAGATTTAAACATTACGAAAAAGATGTGCGCAAAAAAGTTGAAGATCAAAGGATTCTTAGTTTTTGATTTTGTTTTCAATTGAGGATTATTTAAAGCTTGATTTTATCTTGGTCGTCTGTTTCTTTTGTGATATAACGCTTGATCGTATGAATTCTTTTAATTGCTAGACTGATCTAAAAAGAGGAAAAAAAGAAAAGCGGGAGATTGATTTCTCTGTAGATGTAAAATGTAGATTGGTAAATGAAATCAAATCGGTTCACATGAATGGATTGTAAACGGGCTATTGACACATTGACACTTTGGATAAGATTAAGCGATTTATTCTGCACGTGGTAGTCGTGTAACGAAAACGGCTTGTACAACTTCAAGCATCACAAACACTTCCGGAAACAATCACACAAGGGAACTCTTGACAAAAAAAGGAAATGACCGTTGTTATGAGACCAATTATCAGCAACCAAAAGATATATGCTTTATCCACAAAGCGTTAAAATAAGCCAATAAAGAATCACAGAATTTGATACGCATTGAAAAATGTCGAACGTTTACAACAAACAACGAAGCATGCGCAACTCAAAAAATGGAAAATCGAAAGACGTCAACAAAATGGAGACTTTCGCATACAGGTGTGTAAAATGCAGGAAATATCTAAAAGGAAATCACAAGCAATGAAATTTCAGCAGCATTAGGGAAAGAGCAAAAATACAAATATACCTATGGATATGATGCGTCAAAATCAATCAAGATGAGCTTCGCTTTGTTTGAGTTCCACGATCCAACTGCACATACAAGCAATGTTTCAGTGGCTTCGAGACGCCAAATGCAACCGCCAGATCTACCCGATTGAAAACGAGCGAGGTCACGAACGAAGATACCTGAGAGTATTAGCAACAAAATATTCAGTTAACAAATTCTACTTTAAATGCCAGCTTGCAGTCTGAATCTTATATTAGGTAATCTAAAACAACATACCCTTATCCACGTCCCACAGCTTGACCCAGCCATCCAGCGAACCTGTCACCAAAAGCCCCGAATCGAGCAATTGCCATGAAGTGATGTCCGACGTGTGACTATTCGCGCCTTGTAAACGATGAGTGCACGAGCCGCCGTCACGAATGTCCCAAACCTAAAGAAAAAGAAGTATTTTTTATAGGATTAATTAAACATACCTGAACATACCAGTTCGTGCCGGCATAGCAGGATAGCAAAATGTTTCCGCGAAGCTCCATGGAAACGTCACCACGTAGGCCCACTGACCCTTGATGAAGCACAAGGCGCGCGATGCATGCTGAAAGAAACAAATATATGTTACGTCCCAATACAAACGAGCGTCCCAATTTGAACATAGGGGGTTTTTGAAAGACAACCGACTTCGTGCCAAAATAAAAATGTGCAAAAAATATGAATTTTAGAGCGTAAAACATAATTCAACTCATTTGGCTCGGTAGAAAATTTTTTATGGGGTTCTAAGGTCAAGGTCCAAAAATGCCTTAAAATGGCTATCAAAAATTTACCACTGAACCAAAAAAGTTGTATAATGGCTCATTTTGTAACAAATTTTATGTAGCTTCACTTTAAGAATTTACATAAAATTTGTTATGTTCAGATTGGGACGTTCGTTCGCATTGGGACGCAACATATAGATCAAATTCCAAAAAAATAGCGAACTAGTAAAACCCACTTCCTCTTTGCGCATTCCAGACGCAAATCGTTGCGTCAATACTGCCGGAGACGACAAGGTCGCGCCCTGGTTCAAACTAAAAGAGAATCCTGATCAAAGAGCCAAAAATTGACAATTCAACTCACCAAAAGTGAACAAACTCTATCTGTGTGACCCCTCGTCAGCGTGTGCAAACACTTCTCCGTGTGTACATTCCAAACCTAATAGAACATTATAAAATTACACAAACAACTTCACAAACCTTTACGGTAAAATCATTAGGGTATAGGTATCCGAAGACACCCGATACAGCCCGTTCCCCATCAAATTGCACGCAACGCACCTGAAATTTAACTTTGCTTAAGCTATAACTTTAATACACATACTGGCTCCACGTGGCCAGCCAAAATGTGATGGCATTTCCCATCGACAATGTCCCAGACTCGGAGTGTTTCATCCGAAGATCCAGTAACAAGACTAAAACATTATGATTTTAGCTTAACAGAAAATTCCGATCACCCACGTGGTGCCATGTAGACTGATGCATTCAATGAAACCCGTATGTCCCCGTAGAACATGGCGCTGTACCCCGGTTTGACCACACCAAACGGGCACCGTTCGATCAGCCGAGAGACTAAAATATTGCAATAGACTTTGTTGTTACAAGTATTTTTGTTGAGAATTTTGTTGAATTCGTTGGCAACACTTTTGAATTGCATTAGCTATGGTATTTTGACTAACCTGACAATATACTTGCCATCATCGCTCACTGCATAAGTCCAAACGGCATTCATATGGCCAGTTAGAGTGAAAGCTGGCTAAATTGGTACGTACAATAATTGTTAAACGGAACAAACTTGAGCATTATCAACATTCCAGACCCGCGACGTGAACATTCCAGACCCGCGACGCGACGTATCCGACGAAGGAGTAAAGATACGATCAGATTGAATTTGTAGACAACGTGTAGACAAGTGTCGACCCTAAGAACAATTTTATTGCCAAAGCATTTATTCAAACCTTTAGAACAGTGCTTGATTGAATCGCTCGGGATCGCCAATTTGAAGTGATTCGCATCTTCCGCAAGTACAGCGACTTCCATGGAGATCGCTCATAACATCTAGAAAAAATTTTATTTGGCAACAAGTCACGTCACTAACTGTCCATATGCGACCTCGCGTTCTCGTCGATTCTGATGTGCTTCTTGAAGGTTCATATGTGAGAAGATCGTGATTCCCGCTTGCTCATTCGCTCGATTCGCCGCCCAACCTCCGAGAAAGCGAAAGCTAAACAAAAACAAGTTTGAGACCAGTCTTTTCTAATCGATGTCTTAAATCTGAACTAGCTCATCTAAACAAACTTTTTCATATGTTTTCTTTCGCTTTGGACTTAATGCCCTATACCTTAAAAGTCTTAAAATCTAGTTTAACGTAAATCTATCAGATAAGTATTTTTACATGTTATATTTTCTGCTCAAAACTATAACACACCTTGGTGCTTTAAGTTCCACATATCCGTTCTCCAAACATATACGTTGCCACATCTGATCATCTTCACAAAGCCGCTGCCAGGTCCGCGAAACGCCAGCACAAATCGTCAAATCGCACGGTGTCAAATAGGCGATGATGTGATAAGCAATCTAAAAATAAAAAATTACTCCCACAAGCTTTAACAAACCTCCTTTGGCAATTGTGACAAAAAATCCTTTTGGAATAGTGGTTGGTTCAGTTCCACTTGAATATTGCACGATTGCATTGTGAGCACGGGTGGTGGCTTTGAAGTAAGCGTCGACTTTGCCAACCTTTTCTCCAGTAGATGCACTTCCAAAGCCTCGAGTGGAGTCTTTTTGCTCTCCGGCTCGTCCGACACCTCTCCTAAATGAAAAGTTACATGAGAGATAACACCGTAAATAATAAAACGAAAACCCCGTGAACAAAATACTACGACTAGCCACTGCAAATACTGTAATAGTACTCTACCTGTGCGGCACGCACTAGAGCCATTACAGTATTACAGTATTTACGGTATATACACCTGCCAAACGAATTGACCAGAATGAAATTTATCGCGAAAAGTCTCTTTAAATGGACGAAAGGGGCGCGTTTTAGAGCGCGCCAAAGGTTCACGGTAGATGGTACATACACCCTATTTGGTGGTTCCACTTTAAGTGCAATCATAAAATGCCCTTTTGTGCACATTCCTGTGGGTAAGGTTAGGCTTATCGGCAGAAATTAAAGCGCCGCTGGGGTGTTGAAACTGCGGGCGGCAAATCGGCGAATTGACGAGAAGGCGAGGTCGCATATGGACAGTTAGTGCTAAATGAAATTTTTTCTAGATGTTATGTGCGATCGCCATGGAAGTCGCTGTGCTTGCGAATTCGAAGTGATTCGGATCTTGATCCGAATCACTTCGAATTCAATCAAGCACTGTTCTAAAGGTTTGAATAAATTCTTTGGTGATAAAAATTGTTCTTAGGGTCTACACTTGTCTACAAATTCAATTTGATCGTATCTTTACTCCTTCTGATGAAAATACGTCGCGGGTTTGGAATGTTGATAACGCTCAAGTTTGTTCCGTTTAACAATTATTGTACGTCCTAACTTAACTTAGCTGGCTTTCACTCTAACTGGCCAGAGGTATAGCGTTTGGATGTATCAAGGAGCGATGATAGCAAGTACATTGTTAGGTTAGTTAATAGATTACAACTAGCGCAATCATAATGTTGCCAATGAATCCAACAAAATTCTCAACAAAAATACTTGTAACAACAAAGTCTATTGCAATATTTTAGTCTCTCGGCTGGTCGAACGGTGCACGTTTGGTGTGGTCAAACCGGGGTACAGCGCCATGTTCTACGGGGACATACGGGTTTCATTGAATGCATCAGTGGCTTCCTAGTGAATTCAGGTAACTTATCAACATTGATTGATCACATACTATCCAGGCAATCAAATTTGCTTTTTTGGTAAAATTTACATAAAACAAAGCGAAATTTGCATTTAAAGCTGAAATAAAACAAAAGATTAGGCACCACTTTTTCATTCGATACGGCAACGATGTCACAGCAAGGACAACTTGATGACCCATTTTTGCGAATTCGCGACTCCAAAGGCAAGAAAATTCGGGTGGGTGACTTTTGGCTTTGGCTTGATGGACTAGTCTAATCTTAGCTCTTCACCTTTCAAACGCACGCGGTTCGTGTGATTCATTTGACCAACACTGGTCCGTGGAAGCTGCGCGTTCAAGTTTGTGTTTTTATTGACATTTGAAAAAATTTTGTTTAGAACTCTTTTAAATTTAAAATTGAATTTTTTTTGGAAACTTGAAAACTTAAATGTCTTATTAAGCTTGATATTTAAGTTTTTTTTTGAGGTTCTGAATTAGTTTTCTTTTCAGGTGAATGGACCATATCGCAAGATGAGCGGAAATCCAGCACGGACATGGATCATCAGCCCTAACACCATCCATCTCAAACGTGGCGAGAAAAAAAAAATAAGAATTTTTTTCGACAAACGTGAGTCTGATTCTTTTAACGAGTGGTTGAATTGTATTTATTTAGGCCGCCCGGGCAAGTATTTCATCAGCTTTGATCGCCACGCCGTCGTTGGTCGTGCAACGGTTGGTTTTTTTCTATTATACCTGAATTTTTTTTATTCGAAAGGTTTTGGTAAAACCACAGCTTTTTTATAGACTCAACACGTTACCTGCATGAACATCAAGGTTGCTTGATTGCACATAATTCGATTCGATGAGCAATTCCAAAGATTGGTGTTTTTTCAGCATATTCGTTTCTCATAGTGCCATTTCTCTGATTTCGGTTGTGATAAGGTTGTGATAAATGTTTATTGATTCTTGATGAATATTTATTGATTTAAATTTTCAAATTATCGCTACCTTCTTCACCTGGGGTGAATTCAAAAGAAGGAAGATAGAAAAAGTACCCATTTTTTCTTGTTTAAAAATCTATTACCTTCCATGTTTTTAGGAAGGTGATCTTGGCGACGAAGATGGGGATTTAGAAGAAGAGACTGCACATGCAAGCATTGGAGAGAAAGAGAAAGCTCAAGGAAGTTGCATCAATCAAAGTAAAGTGCCTGGCGATTGTATGCACAATATGATTGGTTTAGACTGGAACATTTCATCGAAAAGTTGCAAATAAGCTCCAAGTAGTCGAAGGCCAAGAAACATCACATCGAAGACACAGGTTGTTAGTTTTCTTAACCAAGAGAAATTTCTTACCGTTTTCTTACCGCTTTCTCTTCATGTGCGGAGTTTATCATCAGTACAGGGAAAGACTCACAAGTGATAAAGTGTACGTTACAGTTTTTTAATGATATCATTACAGCTGTTTTTAGATAGCCTCAAAAAGAAGCAAACGATTGGTGTGATTCGACGGGAAAAAGCAAACGGAAAAACGCAAGACGCACACTGTTGCCATATTTTTGCAGTGGCTGTGTCTCCAGATGGAAAATAAAAGTTAATTGTACACACTTATAATAAATATTTTTCCTTTAGACTTGGGATGCATCATCGTTAAAGTTCTTGCAAGATTTGAAAGGACATCTACAGCCAATAACTTCCTTATGCTTTCGTCTTAAATCGACACAACTTTTTTCATCAAGCAAAGACCGAATGGTCAAGGTATTTCTTTTAAACAATTTGCTTATCTACGTGTTTTTTAGCTTTGGGATTTGAAACAGATGGGCTTGCTCGACACAATGTTTGGTCACCAGGATGCGGTACTGTCAATTGACTGCTTGAACAAAGAACGTGTCCTAAGTTGCGGAGGTCAGGATCGATCAGCTAGATTGTGGAAGGTCGATACGGAAAGCCAGCAAGTAAGTAGTTGCCTCGTACTCAATAAAATATGTTTCAGGTTCTAAATGGCTCTCACGATTGCGGAAGTATTGATTGCGTTGCGAGATGGGTGATGCGAGACAGCTGATGGGTAATTGGGCTGCATCTAGACTTCATTGTTTAGTAATTTTAGTTCTTTATGTGTCTGGTCAATATTTAAGAAGAAGTCTATAACTGTCAAAAAGTTTGCTCAGGATCGCAATAACAAACAGGAACCTTTTTGGATTGTAAGTCTGTTAGCAATTTTATGATAAGCTTTTCGTAAAACTTGTTTGTGAACGGCATTTAGGTGTCTGTTGCGGCTCTACCATTTACCGATCTAGTGACATCCGGCTCAAATAATGGCGAATTACGTTTCTGACGCGTTGTTGATTACTACAAAACTCTTTTTCTGAATTACACGTACGAAATGGTATTTAACTTTTTTCATTAAGAGTTATTGATCTGTTTTAGAAAGATTTCATCAATCAAATTCGCTTCTCAAATGATGGAAATTTTCTATCCTGCGCTACAGGTCAAGAACACAAGTTTGGTAGATGGTGGGTCGACACGGAAGCGCGAAATAAGGTTTGCTTTTGCACAAACCTATAGCAGTTGTTCTGTCGTTGATGGACCAACCGTTCGCGTAATGCTCGTGAGTAAACAAATTTTTTTCATGATTCAGATATTTGTCTTGCCGCTAACATATGGTCAAGAAGAAGTTCCACCCCTCAATGGCTAGATGTCTGATAGTTTAATATAAACACTGGAATCGTTTGTTGATTATTTTTTTGTTATTGATTTCTGTTACTTGTTGTTAGTTGAAATAAATTTTTATAACTGATTGCTCAGAGACTTGTTGGTTACTTTCCTATTTACCTACTCATGTGAATGAGAGTTTGGCGAACGTTAAGCGATTGCTTGCCAACCTATTTAGAAGGTCAAAGGATGGAAGCCAACGTTCTTCTAGTGTCAGGTAAAACCGCGGCCATGTAGCAAATGTTAGCTTAATGTTTAGTAATCAGTGCTCGTGGACTTTATTTGAAAGGCCACTCAACTATGGAAGCCCTTGTTACAGTGACTATGCACGGAAAGGTTTGACATGTTTTCATGCATAAAACAAAATATTCTAGAGTAATCTGCGTAGTCGTGCTGTCACCGAACCCATACACACAGAAGGAGAGTGCCACTGGGACGAGCACATGGAATTGTTTGTTTTGCTTGACTGCTATCAATTGTTGCATAATTTAGCAAGATCAACGACCCGACTGCAAAACTAGTTGTGTGTGCCCAGCACAAATGGTCGGAATGATGTAATCGGTCGAGTGGAGATGACCGATTACATAATCGGTCGAGTGGAGATGCCGTTGGATAAAGCAAAAGCAATCAGAGGAGATCATTGGTAAGTCATGTTCTAACTTTTAGGTAGTGACTTACAATAAACATAAAAACTTGTGTCGTTTTTGTTTTAGGTATCCCCCTTCGGAAGAAAGGCAGCTAAGAAAAGTATTGAGGAGAGGTTCAATTGAGATTCGAATTTCATCTTGAGAAATTTAATTTTTCAATCTCAAATCAATCTCTGAACACTATTGAACACAAAGGTCAGCATTTATGAATAACTTTAAAATTGAAAAAACACGTTTCCTTGAGCTTGAGACTTTTTTTCGGACACCCTGTAATCTGACTATTTAGACTGTTTCTGATGATATGCATGATGCTCGACAAGATTTACTTGCAAAAACTGGAAATGGAAGTTCGCGTAAAGGTTCGAATCAATTATCAATAAAGAGTGTAATATTTTGTAGGATTCTCGGCTTCGTGATATGGAAGAATATTTGGATGATTTACTCTCTCGAGTTATGGAGCGTTGTCCCGAGGTATTGTGTAAGACTGAATACCATCTTTTTTTAATCCAGAATATATAATTTTTAGGTTTTGGCTTTGGCGACCGGAAACGGAGCATTGAAAGGCATGAAGAACAACCGCCGTTTTTTCTCAACGATTCGTTTTTAGTCCAGTTCTCAACTATTTCATTTGGTCTCGTAGATGTGATTTGATTTATATACCCATTTTTGAAGGTACCCTAACTAGGCTCAAAGGTTTATCGGCATCCTTTACAATGCTTACATTTCTGACGTTTTGCTCACCAATGACCATTTTCATCGAATACTCGTATACATAAATTGCAATATCTAGTTAGTCAATTTTTGTGAATTTAAGTGGAATCATGGCTGTGATTGCGTCCCATTTGTGATATACAAAATATTGGCATGACTTTATAAGATTTGAATGCAATGTCTAATTAGTAAACTTTTGTGAATCTAGAAGAAATCATTGGATCTAATTGAGTTCTTTTTGTGATATACAAGATATCAGCACGACTTTGTACTTGTATAAAGATTCTATGTATGGGGCATTACATTAACGAGTGGATAAAAATTGCCGATTCTGTACAGTGTATTATATTCAACTTTTTGCGGTGACTGTATTACCAAATTATAGTATATTAGGAAACGGCTGAACTGAGGTAATACGTATTTAAGTGAAATGTTTTGTTAACATTTTCCGTAGAAACTGTGGTTGTAGTGGTTGTACTGTGGTTGGTTTTCTTCAACACATCCTGTAAGCTGTTCGGCCGTGTACTCTTAATTTTGGTTTTTAATGCAGAGACTTTTACTTGTTTGCCGACTAGTAGCTAAATTTTATTTAGATGAATCAGCAGTTATTGTCAATTGGCGTTCCGGAAAGAAGCCTGGTCTTATTTGATGGAAAAAAATGGTATAAGGGCTTATGTATTAAGAGTTTTTCCATTTCCAGCTTATCGATTTTGGCAAGTAAATCTTGCAAACCATGCAAGTAAAGCCTGGAGTTGTCACCCAGGTATACCTTTATATTATCCTTTAGCAAAAGATTTGACACCAACTGAAACTTTTTAAAGATTCTGTTACAAAAGTGAATTATACATTGCCTTTAAAAAGGCGTAAACTAAAATTGAACCAGCAAAACTTTGAGTATTTTGAGCAGCGGAAATAAAAACTTAGTGATTCGTCGGCCAAGTTGGCGATGTCGGTGAAGCTTTTCAAGTCGATGAAAGGCATTTATCACATCGACTGTAGTGGTCCGGTGACTCTTTCACGATCTTTCCATTTTCTGACTTCGACTTGCTGTCCTAAACACAACCACTAAAATTTGAGCTCATTTTACAAAATGTAAATTAATTATCTACCTGTTTGACCATAACCGACGCCCTCATTTGAGCCATCTTTTTCTTCTCTTCGAGAGCCTTCGAATCGACCATTGGCAAGATTGCAGGCTTCTAAATCAGAAGCTTTAGAAAAATTTGGATTTTTAGGCGAATCCGGGAATGTTTCAAAAACGTGTTTTTTATTGGAATCGATTGGATATAAGCTTAGAAGAATCTAAAAGAAAAAAATAATGACCGCTCGACACTTTTTTCAACTAATTTTTTTTAATTTTTGAAAATTCATGTGGTCTTCTCATGAATTTTGTCAAAATTTGCAGCCAATGGCTGACAGTGGTAAGGCATTTGCACCGTCTGCTAACGTCGAAAGTTAGCGCCTAAAACAAGCCCGCTACTTTTGTCTTGATCAGCATCAAGACAAAAGTACAAAAGTAGCGGGCTGGTTTGAGGCGCTACCTTTCGACTTTAGCAGCACTGAGTTCAGGGGTGCTGCAATCAAGTCACACGGTCGCATTTGGCGGAGCCGTAGCCTAATTAATGATAGTGCAAATAAGGGGAAGGTGGAAGATGCGATATGTGCATGCAAATTGTTTTTGTTCAAAAAAGTATCGAGCGGCTATTATTTTCCTGTTTCATATGCTTCTATATCCAATCGATTCCAACCGAAAAAAAACGCGTTTTTGGAAAATTCCTGTATTTGCCTAATTAGCCAACAATGTGATAAAAACACGTTAAAAACTGCAAGAAAAACAACGATTACATTTCGGAAATATTGATCGAAAACAATGGGTTATCGGACATTTGATACGCGAAACAGGACTGTTGATACACCAAACAGGCGTTAAACTTTTAAATTTCGCATTCTTTAACACGTTTACCTGTAAGATTAGTGTTTTTAATACTTTTGCTTAAGTTCTCACTGCTCCCAGGTAACTGTGTACTTTCAGATTTTTTTGCTTTCATTATGCACTGATCCTGATTTCTGAACTTTTTTATTGCATTACAGCTTTACAGCTTTTTCCGAAAATCATTTTTACGCACCATACTAAAATGCACCAAACTACCGTATACCTGTTTTTTTTGCGAAAAGCGAGAATTTTTGTTATAGCGCCATTTTTATTATTTTTTTTCATCATTTTCTACCGGATTCTTCACAATTAGGACTTCTGCATCAAAGTTAAGTTGCTTTTAAACATTTTGTTGAAGAGACGGCTTTGTTTTGAGACTTTTTCAGGGCGATGGAAGGCTTGCAATCGACAAAACTTTATTTTACGAATAATGAAAGCAATACGAAATGACGGATGTAACGGAAATGGATATGAAAATCTATAACGCAGGTTGTTATTTTCAATTTATTCTTTGTCTCTGTTGGTAGAAGCTTTTTCTAGAAACGACCCTTGTTAAAATTTATAAGGCATGTCTTACTAAGTCCGTTGATTTTTCGCTGAATGGCACGCGTAGCCATTTTATTTTTTTTGCAGAGTCTCGGATTTTATATTTCTTCTCAATACTGCGTGCCCTCCTAGTTACTTGGGTCCTCTTATTGCTTTTAATCTTCTCGAGGGCGCTGTCCATTATCTGTTCAAGCTCCGTGTAAAACATTTCGTCGCCTCTAGAGTTTCTCAATTCGAAAATCAAAGCTTCTGCTTTCTAAACAAGCTCAGAATCTAATAGTTTGTCTAAATTTCGAACCGTTTTGCACTTAGATTGACCGATCATAGCCTTAAATACACATTCATCAAATACGGGCACATGATTGTTTGAAATGCTAAATGAAATTATTTTGTTTGTTTTTGGTCCTCAAACCTTAACATTTCAACGGGGGTTTCGTTGAGCGAATATCCTTCCATTTCAATGTTGGGATCCAAGACAGTAGCTAAATTAAGTTAATTAGCGGCCGGGGGTTTAAGGAAAATTTTGATGGTAGACTTTACCTCCAAATGAGTAAACGGCATGACAGTGGATACAAGCTACACCCGATACGTTTGATTCTTCACAGCTACATGTCCACAAGTAGGGACAAATTTTGCATGTGGTGCAATGAAGATTTTGAGAAATCTAAAGCCAGAATTTTTTAAATAAACTTAAGGTTTTACTTGACAGCAACACTCGCGTTCGTTTTTCATCACCTAAAAAAAGACGTTATCTACTTGGACGATGGTTTCGTTAAAGATCGTAAGTTTTCCACTTGCATAGAGTTCAGATGCTTTTTGATGATTTCGCTCATTTTCTTTCCGGCTAAACGTACACACAAGTGATGCGTAAAAGTTAGCAAAAAAGTTACACCGATGCGCTGAATTTTTGAATCGTAGATCAATGACTTGCAGATGGGCAAAATAATTTGCAGAATTTGAAATCAAGAAGTCTACTAGGCCATCAGCTCGCATTCTTTCGGGATAATCCAATTGGCTCTTAAGGCGCCGATGCCATTGTTCACAAGACATATTTGTAGAGAAAGGAGCCCCTTGGCGTCCCCATGCTGTCCATTCAGCCTCGCGTGGCCAGTAATTTTTCTAATATTGCAATATAGGTAAGTAGAATATGTAAATTCTTCTTCTTTGAGAAATTTAGTTATACTAGCTTTTGTCTCGTCATAATATTGCTTGATCGTCGCGTTAATCAGAACCCGGAGCTTTCGTAAAAGAAAATCATTGAGTTCTTTCTGAAGATTAGGTAATATATTATATATAGTGAACTCACAGCTCACCTTATGCACTCTAATGAAATTTTGCTCCCACGTTTGCAAACAGTGCCATTTGCAAATAATTTTTCTGGTTCCTTGACCGCCAAAAGTTTTAGTATATGCACTCCAAAATGTTGGATCATCGTCGCTCATAAAGTATGCAGGTTGAAATTGAGGCAGTGTTTTTCTGTAATTTGAGGGCATTTATATACAAGATGGCGTAAATAAACTTGATCTCCAAGAAAAAGACAATCACATCATCGATGGTCATTGATGGTGAAAGGAGGAATGCAGCTGGAAGACCACGGTCATAATGATCGAACACATGGAGACGTAAATTCACTCTGCCGATATCACAAGGCTCAACGTAGTATTCCAATTTTTTGATCGTTTTTCCTGCTATAGCGTCTTCGAGAAATGGCTTTTTTAAATTTTCAACTATACGAGAAGGTTTTACTCCTAAATTACAATGTTTTCAATCAAGTTAGTTAAATACTAAAAATACCCAATTTCAGTTGATCAACGATTTTATCTTCTGTAGTTGAATTCTTTAAACGAAGCGCACGAATTTCGATTTCATGGTTATGGGATGGGTTATGTTTTGCAGAAATACTTCCATCTTTCTCATATTTAAAGCCTCAAAATTGGATAGCCGCACTTGCAATGATTAGCTACAGTACAGTACTTGACATAACGCATAACATATCAAATCTATCAATTTGAGCTTGATATTGATATGAATTTGGATTTGGATACTTTAAACTCACTCCTATCCTCCAAATGCTCTGGAGTAAGCAAAATATCCATAGTAGCATTGTGAAGCAAAACTGTAGCTTAAAAAGCTTAAATTGTATTTTTTGTTAAATTGAAGGTAGCAAAGTTGGCTGGATAATATGAAAATTTTGAAATATACCACAAGTTTTACTTTTTTACCGACTGATGGGAAGCCTTGAGTGATTCCCGGATCTAAGGTTTCTTTCACACAAAAAGAAATCTCGAAATCCGTCAAAAGATGCTCAAATTTTCGAAATCCTCTTGAAATTCGATTTAGAGAAAAGGGGAATCGATGAAAATGTAAAATTTTGAAGATTTTAAGGGTTTGAAGAGTGTCGGAGAAGAGATTATATGAGAATTTTGGATTTCTTCCCCAACTATGGCTTACTGTGGTCTAACTAAAGAATACTGAAAGCGTTTGGGATAACAAGATTGCACAAAATTGCTTTGCGGGTAAAGATTTAAAACAAAATTAGAAATTTTTTAATCAAAGCCAGCAAGATTCGTCAGATTTATCATTCATTCATTTAACAAGTTTGAATTTGAATTTATATTTGGTTTGCATTTTGCTAGATAGTCATTGCATTTGAATTTGAATAGAACTCATTTATGCTTCAGTCTCTATAATTTTTCTCTTCTTGTACTCAATAAGTTTACTGTGTGTCATTTTGTCAATTAAACATGTTCCGTTGTCACTTTTTCATGCTTATATGAATCTACTTATATAAAGGAACTAAGACATCTTTCTGTCTGTCTGTGCGCGCTACTCTTCAGCTCCCAGAGGACCGTTTGCAATGATTTTTGTGGTGTTGAATAGGAATTACATGAATAATTACATGTAGTTGTGCACGTGTTCTTGGATTTTTTAAAAAGCACCATTCGAGTCGCTCGGGAAGGTCGATCCCGGATGGTATGGACCGGCGCGCTATTCACTGCTCCACGGCAACAAAAGCCGTCCATCCCCAAAACACCCAAAAAAACCCGCCGTTAGGCCGGTTTCTTGGCTGGTTGATATATAAGATCCAAAGAACCTTTTACAGTTTCAATGCCGAGATTTTGAGTTTTGAAAGCTCACCTCTCACCAAAAATGGACTTCAGAAAATGGAGGAAAGAAACAAAATGAATCAACAAATGGAACAAGTGAGTCAAAGCAATGGCTTCAGAAATGTTGAGCAATTTTTGGAATTACTTAACTAGCCATAAATATTAAAGTTTGTTCTTCAAAAAACGTTATCCAAAAAATTTATAGTTTCTACCAATTCCTTCTCCTCACTTTTTCCCGTCGCAAGAATTTCCACCCGAACCGGTTCTACGTGGGTTTTTGAACCAGGCAAAACTGGCAATATTGTCGCTAAGGTGTGGTTAATGTGGTTGAGTTACGGATTTTCTAAAATGTGTCCGCTTTCGCAAAATACCGTAACTTTATCTCTGGCTTTTATTCAGTCTACTTGCTTTTTATAACTTAAAGTATTCTTCGTCAATCCTCACAGAATCAGTCCAAGGTGTAAATTGGATAAATCGGAGCTATAAAAGGACCAGAAGTAGATAAATTGGATAAAAACTAGCGGCAGGCTTTCAGCAGTCTTTACATTTCTTAGAAAACAAGGCAACCGACTTGATTCGGTTAATCGATTTGATACAAACAATCGATTACCAGACAGAAATTCGACTAATCTAAAATCTTAACCACGCTCGGAAGTTATTGTCAAAATTTTTACGAGGTTTTCAAGATTCCAGAGTGTCCTGTGTGCGGGGAAACATGTGAGTTGAAAAAATGGAAGATTTTGTTAGGGGCGTTACACTCATTGGACTCCATAGGAACTAGCTTTTATCAATCCTGAATTTGTTGACCCAAATGCTTTCAGATGCGATCACCAATCCAATGCGTTGCCCATATGAATTTTTCTGCCGTCACACAGTGTGTTTTTATTGTTACTCTTGGATACGCACGGACAACGCGAACGGACAGTGCACTTTTCGCATTGCATTCGCATTCGCAAAATGTCAACTAATCAGTTGCATCAACGACAAAACCCTTAAATCAACAACAAATCACTCGATCAAGGCGAAAAAACACTTAAATTAACAACCAACCGCTTGAACAGCCCATTATTTTGGCATTTCAATGTGAAATGTCAACTAATCAGTTGCATCAATGACAAAACCCTTAATTCAACAACAAGACGCTCCGATTCAACAAAAAAACACTGAACAATCGAGGTTTCGATTGCTTAGTGCATCTCCTTACGCAGACGCGGTCCAAAATTTGTCCGATACACTTCGTTAAGGTCTCGGGGTTAATGCTAACCTCAAACTCGGGTAATTAAACCGACGAGCGAGGTAGGTGTCGCCCTTTGTCAAAAAGCCCTGTGCCAGATGCGTTTTTTCCTCACGATACACACGAAAGGTGCACAGAGGAGGCTCGGCTCTAGCAAGCAGCGACAAAGGATCACTCGCTCTCTCACTATTTCAATCGGCATCAACCGCCCGACACCCGCTTACGACCATACCACGTTGAAAACACGGCATCCCGTCCGATCTGCCAAGTTAAGTAACGTTGGGCTCGGTTAGTACTTGGATCGGAGACGGCTTGGGAATCCCGAGTGTCGTAAGCTTTTTGCGTTATGCCGCTCTCAAAATTGATGATTTGACCCCGACGAAAACAACGAACCACATGTCTTTCGACTCAATTTCACCACTACAACATGATCAACTTTTCAAGATTTTTCCACCATATAGTGGAAAAACCCCTGTGGTTCCGACAACAAACAAAAGCTAAAACACATAATTTGAGGGTTTCCCAATAACGTTAAATAATCAACTTCAACTCACCCAAATCCCATCACGTATTGCCATCCACCGTCTTTCAGTTAATTGTGCTTCTCCTCAGTGACCTCTTTGGGAAGCGCACTAAAATTACAAAATGTATGTTTGACTTCAAATAACCTAGTCAATCTTATATTAAATTCCAAAAAACACTTCCCGAACTTCGGTTACAAGAGTGACATTGTTGTTTTTCGATTTGGGGCGGAGAAAGATGACGTTCGACTTCTGTTCAACTAAAGGTACAACCAATTATTACTTTATTGGTATTGGAATGAATCTTTATAAGAAGGTATATATTTTGTTATTTCTAGATCTCCATGGACAAACGAGTACGACCCTCCACTTGCCGATGGGCACATGCCAACGAATAAGCTGCGAACGCTCAAGATTGAGGCGAATGCCACTTTTGAGGCATATCGTGATTGTAGGTTTTTGCGATTCTTTGTAGTAAGCATAACATAAAAGCTTTACGTAAAACAGCTAGTAATTGTAGCAAAGTTTGTAGCGTTTGAGAAACAAACAAAGCTCTTTAAAATTTTTTTAATAACTATTGAAGTTCAGCTTCAATAATTTTTTTGATTATGGGAGCTATCAAGATCATTTTAGTTGGAGCAAGACTGCCCGGTGACTGAGAGCAACACTCATCTTGTTAACATTGAGCCAATGATTGAAGAGCAAGAGTCGAAGATGCGGCACACACTCAATGAGATCTACTTTGGAAAGACCAAACAGGTGATGTAAAAGCAGCAATTTCAAAGAAAGACTTGAAAAGGGTTCATAACTTTTTGTGTTTTGCAAGAAGTTCTATAGTGCATCTAAACTGGGATCTCATGTCAAATCTCATTAATTTTCTTCTTTAGGTTCTCGGCGATTTGAGGACAATCGAGAGTGCGATTGAATTGAAGAATCGCGAGAACAGCATGCAAGAAATCAAATCGGTCTCTTCAGAAACAATCTCTTCAGCGAAAGTCAACACCTGGTCGACGGCATCGAATTTCTGAAGAATTCCACAAACTCACAAGGTCCAATTTGGCTCCGGCGTGCCAACCAATGTCACCCTAACAATGCATTTGTTGATTCACTGTTGTATTTATCTATAAATTTCGTCTTAGACTTAGATGCCTTTATCATCTTATCAGGCTTTATAAAGAACCTTCCTCGTGTAGTCGAAAGTGGTTTCAATTTGAGGTGACAACGGGCACCCATATCGCATTAGTGAAGCGAAATGCTCACAATTATTGTCGACCATGTGATAGGTAAAAATTGTTCCAACCTGCAATCTATGGCTTATTAAATCGACTCTCTCGAACATGTGGGTTACTTAGTCAAAGTAATAATCATAATAGTAATGATAATTATAATTATTAATAAGTCGTGTCAGACTATTGAACTGACCGCATGGTCGAGTCTTTTCATAATCTGGCGATCCGCAGGCGTCAAAACCGAGTCGAGAGCATTGTCGATGCATACAAGACTACCCACTCCAGCAATTACGGAAACGGGGCTCTCGATAACTCGCTGAAATCGGCATCTCAACATTAAGAAACGACCATTTTCTCGAGAAACCCACCTCTTCCGGGCCCACTTTGGATCCATCAACATGCACTACATCAAAACCGTATTCGTCGTTTCGCCTGATGATTGCGGCATGCTGAAAAGACATTTTTCAATTATGTTGACTCAAATTTTTGCTAAGGCTTACCAGGTAGCCAAATCGTTTAAATAGATTCGTGTCTCCTGGTTCCGCAACCGATCGTAGCTCCGATGGAGTCATAAATTGCGTCTTTTTGCTTGTTGCGACGGCGTGACCACCCTTGAAACCATTGGATGATGAGCGGAAGAATCCAGGTAGCAAGATGTAGGCTCCGAAAGCGATGAAGGCAAAGTAGAGGAAAGTAGAGAGGAATTTCCGTTTCTAAACCTTGTCCCATATCAGGGTTTAAAAAAGGTTTTAAAAGGCGGTGGTGGTTTATCCTAGTGATCCCCACACGATCAAAAAAATTTAGTTATTTCGCCAACTACCAGGTTTCTTGATGCTTCTGACGAAGAATCCAATTGCGGCGTAGCAAGAAAATGGAACACACACAAGGGCGACCGAACCAGTAGTGAAGCCAAACAACATGAGGTAATCTTTGAATGTCGCAAATTTTTTGGTTGCACACCCTAGTCCCAGTTGGAGTAGTAGGCCAGTCCTTCTCTTCGTAATTGCGAAATATTCAAGAATTTTGTTCAAATCTTTTTATTTAAGTGTTCCACAACAAATAATATAAATATCATAACAAACAAAAAATAAACAAACATGACAACAATCGATGAAATGAGTAAAACATAGTCTAATACTACATTTAGCACAAGTCCAATGCTACATTTTGTAAACCCACTAAAATTCACCGAAATTCCGGCGAAAATTCACGGGCGCAAGTCATGATTTACCATTTTTGCTTTGACTTTTGAGTTTGAAAAATTGACTAAACATTTGAAAAGTCGAATGATCAAAAAATACAATCGAATGAGAACTCAAACTCCAAAAAAGTTCTTGGAAAAAAAGTTTGTATGTGAATTTATTTAATAAGATGTCATAAAGAATTATTTAAGAGTTTATTACAAGAGTTCAACTAAACTTGTTGTATCGGTTCTATTTTATAGATCGAATCCATAAAATGCGGCAATGTGTTATGTTTGAGAAGATCACCCGTTAGCGATTCCATTTCTCTTGTCATATCAAGATCCAGTGCTAATGAAGTGGAGGGCATTGGATGAGAAAGTTTCTTGCTGAGCTCCTCACTTTTCGAAACAATCAGACTCTACTTTATCTACAGGGTGTTCCACAATTACTGATACCTGATAACTAGCTTGAAAAAACTTTTTTTAGTAGAAAACTTGTGATGAAACTTTTATTTTTAACAAATTAGATAGTAAAGTAATGGACAAACAACAATTATTTGATATGTCCTCATTCCGCGTTGATACAGAGCTGAAGGCGCTTCGGGAAGTCGTCGACCGTGGCACGCAAGTAGGGTAGATCCATCACCGAGGTCGGATAAAGAGAATGCGAAACTGATTTGTGTGGATTAGAAATGCCGTAAATTCGATCGTTTTGCTTGTTCAACACTTTCTGGACCGTAAAAACTTTCTCATCGGTGAAAAGAATCCTTCGGTGAGCTTTTCAAGGAAACCGAGCAAGAAGTTGAGCACAACGCTGTTCTCTCTTAAGTTTTGTAGCATCGGTAATTCCGTGACACTTGTTTTTCCTGAAATCTTTCATTCCTAAGCGTTTTCGAACGATTCGATGCATCGAAGTCACAGGAACTTTCATTTCGCGAGCCATTTGACGAACAGATCTCTCTCCGGGTTGCGCCTTATTCTCTCTCGAACGTTCTTGATAAAGTCTTAACAGCCGAAGTTACAAGTCTTCCACCTCCCTTTCAATCCTGATTTGTTCCAAGAGACTTAAAATGTTTGCATGTTCGCAAAACAAGTTGTTTTGTCACTCCCAGTCGTTGACGGATCGACCGTGCCGGAATACCTTTCTTGTGAAAAGAAATGATCAAGTCGCGAAAGCTGGAGGGCTTAGCCATTTTTAAAAAGGACAATTTTTTTTAAACATTATTAAATGAAAACAAGTTTAAAACAAGAAAAACTTCAAAAACAGTCAATAAATCGCTCGCGTTGGACAATTTAAAGGCTTTTATGATGAGGGGTCGGGGTATCAGTAATTGTGGAACACCCTGTATTTGGATGATTCTAGAAATAGAAATGTTACTTTTATTGTGTGAACATATTCTTTGTCACACTCTTTGCAACGTTTACTGCTTGCACTTGATTTAAGCCACTTAGATTATTGCTGAAAGTGAAGTACATTGTACTTGCATAAAGAAAATTTACTGTTGTGAAATCCTGCGTTTTTAGCAGAGCCGAAAAAGCAGTATTTTGGTCTTTTAGTTTCTTTGAAAGACAAATGGTTCCGTTCTGTTATCAGGGAATTGGAAGGAAGAGTTGATAAACATTTAGCACAAGAAAGGTGACAGGGTGACACCAGAGTTCGGAGCCATCTTGTTTTTAGGGTCAACAGAAAAATATTTGAAAGACGCTTGAAAAACTCGAAATCTAGATGAAATTTCGGTTTGGAAAACATTTTTTGGCAAAAACAGAGCGTTCTCATCGGCCTATTTTTTTAAGTGAAACAATAGTTAAAACTTGTGATCCGATTACGACTCGCCAACTTTTGAGAACTATAACATTTGGGTCGATTCTGGCGATATATTTGCAATTAAAAGACTTGATCTCTACTTGCGCAGCCTTAAATTTACCACAAACTTGCTATAATTTCAAACTTTTATAAGGATATTCAGCGTTCGAGAGTTTTTTGTTATCTTAAAGGCTCAATTGGACGACCGAAAAACAAGGTGGCTCCGAACTTTTGTGTCACCCTGTATAAGCAAAATCAAAATGATTTTTGACTTGCTAAAAACAAAAAAAAGAATCAAGCGTCCGTTTTCAGAGCCAGATCTCACAAGTTTCGATCCACTTTGGTCCTTTCTTTTGCTTTTTACAGAAATGTTGACTAGTGTTCTTTGTGCGCGCACGACATATTTCTTCTTGTAGAATTAGGATTATTCGCTATTAGCTTTTAGCTATTAGCTGTTAGCTATTCGAATTATCAGAATAGCTATTAGAATAAATACGGTAGCTGTTCGTTAGGAAGCAAAAATGGTTTTTTAAAAGATCGTTTTTGTTGGTCGCTTTTGTTTATAAAGAAAAAATGAGTTCACCGTGACAAGATAACGCCAGTTTTTGGACCCAAGCTTTTAAAAGATTGGGAAGGATTTGGAAGCCATAAAGCTAAAAGCTTTTGAAGCTTAAATTTGTGCCCAAGTCAAAATTGAGTAGTCGGTATTTGCAACATCGTTTTGCGGAGAGATTCGAGTATCTAAGCCCTAAAATATTTTTCGTACCTCTAAAAGAAAAGCGCTTTCATCCACTATTTATACAAAATAAGTCATTTTGAAGAAACACGGAAAAGCAAAACTACACAAGACTTTCACTGAATCGAAATCGAGTGAATTCAGATACGATCTTTGCATTTCCTTTGCCATTTTGGCAACCAGATCCTCAAAAGGATATCTTTTATGTGTAATGCTATTCATCTTTTCAATAGTCTTCAATTGTTTTCTCTTCTCAAATGTTGTTTTTTCAAATGATCTGACTAATGTGACAGGTAAAAATCGTTGCTTTTATCAAAAGTCATGTTTTCTTGGAATAAGAGTTCTAAGCAAAGAATAAACTTCAAGTAATTTCAAACTAAACTCCCTTTTTCGAGCTAAAAATCCCGCCAATTCCCGCTCGAGCCACATTGGAAATCGGTGAATCGGTGAGATTTCTATGAAATTGGTGAATTTCTCCAAATTTCAGCATATCAATGAAATTGGTCTTTCCTATTGCATGATCCCAAAGAATAGAGCCACCATCACCAAAATCATGCTCTGTGATCTTTATCGATACTTTCGGCTAATCCCCTTCAAAGCTGCCTTTGGGCCCAATAAAAAACTCAGGTAATAGGAGCTGTTGAATTTGAATAAATCGATAGGAAATGAACGCTTTTTGAGTGTTTCAATGATGTGTTCGGTTTTCTTTATAATCTTGAACGAATTTCTAACAAGGGAAGGTCAAATGGCTTGTGCTATATACCATTCGACACAGAATTTCGAATATGGTTTCAGTTTTTGCTATGCGCTACCCTATCAAAGGTTATACGACTTTAAATTTTTATAAGGCATTTTGGAATTCAAGGTCAACTTATGATAAGTTAGTTTCCCCAAAGGCTTTTCAAAAACTCTTCTTTCTTTGACCAACTTGGGTGTTCTCCGTTCCAAAATTAGCCTTATTTTATCTACGTTTCACAAAAACTTTCAATTTTTACATATAATAAACATTAAAAATATCACGAAAGTAGCACAAAGAATACCCAAGTTAATCAAAGACAAAAAAAGCAAAAAAGAAAAGTTGAAGGGGAAACCAGAACGTGCTCGCCTTCTATGCGAACCCAATACCACTTGGCCACCGGCGCTTTGCAAAAACCTTTTGGAAACTGACTATAATTTGACCTTGAGTTCAAAAATGGCTTGTATAACTTTTAATAGGGTAGTAAATAACAAAAACTGAAACCGAAATCAGTGTGAAATTCTGCGTCGAATGGTATATAGCACATGTCATTTGACCACCTTGCCCACTTGTTCTTCCCTTGTAAAAATTTTTTGCTAAACCTAAACCTGATTTCGAAAAAAACTAATGCATCAGTGAGAAACGAGTGTGAAATCCCTGTTCTTTCAGTGAATGCAAACTGAAAAAATGGAAACTCGACTACAAAAATAATCAAAACAAATGGGAAGTTTGCCAGAATCCGGTGAAATTCGTCCTTATCCGAGAGCCACTCAAGCGTTTCCTTTCCCTTTACGGATATCTTTGCGAGTCGGTGATTCTTAATTGATTCAAAATGCAAAAAAAATAAATATCGATTAGCTATCTAAAAATGTGTGGTTCGGAGATCGATATTCACAAGTTCACTAAAGGTATCTACGTTTTGTTGAGCACTCAATCGGTTAAAGAAACGAATTTCGTTGAAAAGCATGGAGATATCGTCATTTATCACGCACAACCACAAAGCTGGTAAGTGAATGAAGAATCTTTTTCAGATTTTACTACTAGGTTCTGCAATTTATCAGAAGAGCTCAAGAAATTCCATCTAATTCATCATAATTCGAATCGTTTGGAAATGAGAAGTGAATTTCAAACAGTATTTGATGAAGCGAAAGTACCAAAACTCTATTCGGATCAGGTATCTCTTCAAGAACAAGTTGAAAAAGATTTTTCGATAAGTTTTTTAAAATTCATCCTTTAAACTAATGGTTTTAAACAAAACAACCAAGCTAAGCGTTTTAAACAAGCTAATCTTTAAACTTTTAATTAAATTAAACGAATCGTTTTTTAAAATGATTTGTTTGTTTAAAAAGACTCGTTTGTTTTCTCGTTTTAAATCGTTTTAAACAAACTAATCGTTTAAACTTATAAATGTTTCGCGTAAACATCCGTCAATTTCAACGTGAAGCGTTCTAAAAAACCTCTACAAAAACTTTTCCCTTAAAACCCTCTTTTTGTTTTTTTTGAACTTACTTTATTAAAATATAAAAAACCTCAAACCTCCTTTCTTTTGTTTAACATGAGCCAAATGCTTAAGATGTTACTGTTTTTTTGCTGATTAAGAAACCCCAAAATTCAAAAGTTTGAAAAAGCAGCTCAATGGGTGTTTTTGTTGGATTTTCATCCGGTTTTCGACGCTAATCAAGAGTTCTAATCAAATTTTGTACAATTAAATAAATTCAGGTACTCTTTCATCTTTTCTACTCCGACACACAACACGCAAACCATGAGAAAGCCCAGCCAGAGATTCTAAAGAAATCGATGGAAGAGCAGCCGGAAACGATGGCCTATTTCAATGCCATTTATCACAAAGATTTTGAAATATTTGGTTTTGAAAAACCATTCAACCTTTCCAATGTATCATAATTTTGTGCCACATTAAATAGTTCAAAAGGTTTTTTGTTCAACGTGTTCGTGATCATATCAAAAGTTCAATACAAATCGTATTTAAATCAAAAAACATTTTGTAGCTTAAATAAAAGAGTCCAAAATGCAGAAGTTGACCCTTTTTTTAAATTTCTGATTTAGGCTTCCTGTCATCCGAAAATCAACAAATCTTTAATTTTTGGCCTAAGAGCATTTTTCTTGCATCAGTTAACTTTTTGTGTTTCACGTTTTGAAATATTGACAAGAAACTTGTTATTTAATGTATTCAAACTTCAATGAGTTTCAAAATTTTGAACGCAATAAAAAAAGCTTAAACACAATTTGTTTTGTATATGAAAATGACCAAATGCATTTTGAAAAGTAAAAACATTGGTAAGTGAAGCAGAAATCCCATTTTCTATGCCGGTTGGATCTCATCGGGTTGATTGATGGGCAATTTCTTGAGATGACTTCGATAAATGCCGAGATCTTCCACTTGCTCCCCTCCCAGATCCTCGATCATCGGATCCTAGAAAAAAAAACGGAAACTTTGGTAGTTTATAGGACTTGGAATTATGAATGCTGTCATTTCTGACAAAAAGCCAATATGTGATCTTTTGAACTTACAAATCTGCTCTCTTCAACGCCTCTTGGTTGAACGAGCGGCTCTTCATTTCGATTTTGACTCATTGATGGAAGAATTGGCTCATCCACTCGGCCAAGCAACCAATACGTTGACATCACTCCTTTACCCTGAAAAATTTGCAGAATCAACTAGCTCAGATGTACTTTGTTCTATTCTGGCACACTTAATTCCTTAAGAATGATTCAGGTTATGTAGGATTTGTTCTTATCCTGTACTTTGAACTCAATAATGTAAACGCATCCACTCTGGCGCACTCTGGAAGAAATGCTTCATTGCGCATACGAAGTAAAGAATTCACGGCACGAGAAATTGTAACTATGTAAATGAGAAACGTTTAGCTTTTCCGGTTACCGTAATCTAGACTCGTCTATTTGGTGGATCTTTGGTGGCGATAAAAAGAAAAGAATTCGAGAAAGAAATGAAGATCTATTTGTGGTACTTTGGTTCAAATGAATTGCCCAAACCTCAAAGGTACGAAACGAAAGGAGAACGAACCGCGTTTGTGCAAAAAGAGCCGTGGCCCAAGAGGGCAACGAGCTGCTTCTTTCAAGTCCTAGAACTTACAGAAACGGCCTAGGACCGAAATCTTTTGGATTTGAGTTACTAAGAGTGTATAATTAACGATTTTTAAAGGTTTTTTATTTAGTCCATCTGCATGTGAAGATCCAGATGCCGAGATCGGCTGAACTTTGAAGATGAAACTTGCAACGAGTGGAACTTACGTTTTCCATTGCTTTCCATACGAGATGCCGTGTTCACACTGTCACCGAAGAGGCAATATCTGGAAATAGGACAATGAAAACTATTGTTTTTCACTCCAAACCTTGGCATTGTCAATCCAACCACTCCAGCTACACATGATCCAGAATGGAGACCGATTCGGAGATTGATCCGCTCAGTGGGAATGTGCGGGACTCGGAAGTACTGAAAGGTCTGGCTGTTTTAGAGAAACCTACTGATTGGCAAGACCAAAGCTTAATTGCTGGTTTCTGATATCGTAATCCGCTGACTTAAGAAAGCCTTAACGTTTAAAATGTGCCCTTCAATGGTAAAAGCTCGAGTGATAAAAGTCTCGATACAGTATGAATAGCTTTCAGAATAGGGGGACGAGAGCGTCCTGTGTTAGGGATTTTTTCGAAAATTGCAAAATAAGTCAGAGTGTTGGGACAAAACAAGTTTAGGACAGGTTGGGTTGAGTTTTGACCTGTCACACCAGTGTTATATTCAAAACTATCTCGAAATTTGAATTCTCCATCTTTGAAAACCCTAAATAACGCTTTTCAACTTTATCAGTTTTTGGGTCATTGTGGGACACCGGTGGCCCACGCTGTCCCAGACAGAAGTCCACTCGGGGGTCACCGGTGGCCCACGCCATCGCCAATGTGTTAAGCTAAATGTTGTCCTTCAATACCATAATCTGTCTACCTGAATAGCCTTCAAGATTCCCAGTGACATTTCGGCGATATCCCTGATGTGTTGGATTCCATTCCGAGGCGGTAAGCCGGATACACAAAGGTATCCATCGCCAATCGTTTCCACCTAGACTACGGTAATTCTATAGCACAGCCAAGTGACAGTACTTTGTAAACTCCGTGTTCTTCAATGATCTGATCAAAGGTCGAGTACAGATCGTTTAAAAGATTGACAATCTAAAGGAAAATGTGCCATATTTGAGGAAATTCGCATTTTTACTTGTAATGGTGTGCATTTTGCGGCCAAATTCGTGAATTTCACGACATCTGAGAAGAAAATCGTGACACTGTCATAGGCTTCAGGTTCCACGGTTTGACCCAGCTTCAACCGGTCAGCCACTTGTCTAAAATTGGTTTAGCATCCACTGTGACATCCAGCTTTTACCTTGGTAGCATTCAATAAAGAAGAATGTCACTTTTTTTCTTTTTCTCGACGAGTTCTCCGGTTCGGTCTTGTACCTGAAGGCCATCAATGGATTTAGCTTTCATGCTTCAAAATTCAAAAAAAACAACTTAGATTGTCTTTCGGTGTTGCCATTACCTCTTTTTCTAGAGTCTCGGCATAGTTCTCTAAAATGTTAAACACGTGATCCATGAGATTTTGTTTTCGATCAGAGCCCTGGAATTTGATTTCATGATAAGATTTGTACGAATTGTTGTGCTGTGGAATATTTTTGGGTCGCTTTGCTGCATCCTTTCTTTTCGAATTCATTTGATGTAAGTTTCTATAGCTAGAGTAAAATTACAGTATTCTGTTTACATTCTTTAAATAAGTTAATGTTTTTGTCGACTAAAATCTTTTACTTTAACCTTGTTTATCAGCCAAAGTTAGTGCAGAATAGAAACATAAAAAACATAAAACATAAAAATCTATGCTTTCTATTCGGCCCTGCTGAACGATAAACAAGCCACTAATAACTCGAATAGTTGTGATTTCTATTTATATAATAGTTAGCAATAACTTTACAGGTAGAAAGCTAACAAGAAGCTTACAAAATCCTTGCAAATCTGAGCTTAAAGTTCAATTGGATCAAAATCAAGTCACCATTGCTGTAATCAGTGACTTAATCGTTTCGAATCTCGGCCGATTTTGGGGTTCTTCGTGCCAGCAATCGCGAATGAGATGAAGCTGAAAACATGGGAAAATTCAAAAACCATTGATTAGCTATATTGTGTATACAAATAGTAAATAAATCCTCGAAATTCCCCCACCAAAGCCGGATTGACATCCGCCTCGTCAGCCACCACTAGGTCTGGTCTTAGCGGTACTGATCCTCCTTTTTTGATCATATAGATCACTTCTGAAATTCGACTTCTTCAAAATATAGTCTTCTTTTCTAACCTTCAACTTTTTCCCTTCGATTCTCCATATCGAATGCGGTTTTTCGGGTGATAATCTCTGAAGAAATGATGGCAAATGAGTAGATATCGTGTTCTTCGATTGGAGGTGTCATCGGCTCACGGAGTTTTTCAGGAGCGAACCAGAGTTGCTCTGAAAAAGGGAAAAACCGTTAGATGAATTTTTGAAGTATTATTATTGACATTGTCAAATCATAATGGTCCAGTGGTTCAAAGAATTAAGAGATTTGAAGGCTTTAAAAGAACTGTCGGATTTTGAAAAACCGATCTACTAATGTTGATCTGAAACCTAAAACTGTTAGCCAGATTTTTCAACTACTAAAATCTGCTAGATTTAAAAGAACTCTATCAGATTTCTAAAGCTCATTGCTTTTAGAATTTTAGAACAAACCCTTCTTCGTGGTTTGCTCCAATCCTCTAATAAAAGTCAGCCCATACCCGCCAACTTTCAACTGCCACCGATCATCGATGTAACAGACTTGAGATCTGAAAAAGGTGGATGGATCTTAAAGTGGCTCAAAAACCAACGATAATCTCCGATGTCCCTTCAAGAATGACTTATTGATGTAACACATTCCTTCGACGAGATCTCGAATCAGGGAATACATGAAGAAACCATCGATGTTCATGCTACTGCCGGTTAGGACTTGCTGAATAAAAGAACAGTTAACAGGTCCATTTTTAGTTTTTTTTCGGTTTGCTAATTGTCAGCAAGTCAAACAGCAAGATCTACTGTACTCCTTTCGGATTTCTTAAAATATACTGTGGGTATAGGCATACTGTAGCAAAGCCACAAAAAGTTTAGGTATAAGGTTGTCAAATTATCAGCTCATTTGTTATAGCAAAATACTCCCATGCTTCTGTGCTCATTACGAAATTTGATTACCAAATCAATAAAAGTAAAGATTTCGGTACTACGGGGAGGGCAATTTTTTTGAAATCGACTTTTTTTGGATCAGTTTTTCTAAATTTTGGCATCCCAGGTCCGGAAAATGCGATTTTATCATCGAAAACAATCTTTTAAAAATACATATGCATTTTTAAGGGGTTTTATCCATTTTAAATGCAAATTTTCTGTTTCGATTCAGATTTGTGCCTCAAACAAGGAACAACGAGTTTAAACCCATAAACCGCTTTCTAAGCTTAAACAAATCACGGTAAGCCATTGTTTTCGTGGTGTTTTGTTGTTTTCGATGTTTTTGATGATAAAATCGCATTCATTTTTCGGATTCATTCAATCCGAAACTTTGCGTGCGCTTTCCTCGAAAGCCAGGGCAAAATAAACATGTTCGATAAGCTTTTCATCTCGTTTAAAAGTCTCACACCCTTTTTGGAACGTTTCCTTGTGATCAAATCAAGAGATTTAATATGTTTATTACCTCTAGTGATCCCCTCGACGCCAATCTCCAAATGGTCAACACCGGACTCGCCTCTTCGCACAAACCGATGAAACGATGAACGTTATCGTGCTCCATTCGGCGAATCTAATAATATTTTGATTGAATGATAGTTTTAAGTTGCTCAGAAACGTTAGACTGTTAAAGTGAGGCTACTAAAGCTAATTTTTGACACTTTCAACTCGTATTTACCAATCTCAACTCGTGATGATCCTTGATAGTCAATCTCGACACCACTTTGTGTTTCATCGCCATCAACGGATCGCCCATGAGCAAGAAATATTCGATCTGGAATCAGTTTAGAAATGAAAAGATTTAGTTAAAAACTGAAATAGCGATATTTTCTACCGGACCACTATCGTTGTGCTTGCTTCCAAAGGAGAATTTCGATCCAGTGCCTGAAACGGAGGATTTTGACGATCGCAATGAGCGCATGCTTCGTTCATCGTGCTGGAATTGAAAGTTTCAGATAGAACTACATTTTCGACTTGTGAACACTGAAAATTGCCGTAATTTCATGATTTTTGACCAAAAACAACTGGATAGTGTCAGGTTTTCAATAAGAAGACCCACTTTTCCCCTCGGCTTCTCCAGTTGGCTCTGATTGATTCGCCACTCGGCGTTTTGGCGTTCCGTTTCTCGGCGTCTTTCTCTGAAATTAGAGTTAAAACTTAATATATGAATCTGATAACTCGATACAATCATTTCAGGCTATCTGAAGTCAACTTATTGCTAGTGGAGCCGTTGATCGATTAACCGACCCTTTGGAATTTGCTTGTTATGACTACAAACGTTGTGACTACGGGATTAAGATTACTAGAGGAAATCGCCGTGGCTGCTACAGATTATATCGTTTAAAATAATGCCCTTGTTAAAGCAATTTGGTAGAAATCTTTAAATTCACCCTACTCTTACCCAGGGATGTCAAGGGAAGATTCGTCCCTTAAGACTTGATTTACCAACTCTCATCTAAAATAAGAATCAATAAATGCTAGCAGTGGTAAATTTTAAGAATCTGAACAGCAGGCATAGAGAACTCTAGCTAAAGCTTTAAGGTAATCAGCGTTTCTAACTAAAAGATACCACAGACGCATTTTTTTAAAGTACAGGCGCTTTGAAAAAAATGAAATACTAAAAAACTTTTGCGACTACGCGACTGTACGAGGGGGTGGGGTACTATTACAGTATTTACAGTAAGCTAGTTTTGAACGATTTCCCTGAGATTACAGTAGCTTCTTTTTTAAAAGCGTTTTTTGATAATTGAGCGGAACATATGTAGACGAATACCAGTAGATCGGGACATTTGGAACGTCGCTGAAAACTAAACTGATGCTAATCAAGTTTGAAAACTGTGCTCTACTGTACCGACGGAGTGTACTGTAGTGTATGAAGTGCACAAGTGTACTATGGTAACAATTTTACTCGATAAAGATAAATAGACATGCTTCGAAATTATTACTCAACACTAGCTACACTACTTTTATCGACTTATTTGCGGTATCTGACATTTTAGGCAATTTACCTACGATTGACCCAGAAATTGCACTGCCAGCGGCAATCCAGAGTGTGTTCTTCTGGTGGTAAAGGGCAATTCTTTCTCACTTTGATAAAATTCAATTTTTCCAATCCTTGTTTTGATCTGAATCACATTTTCACTTCAAAAACATCAAGCCTTTTATAACCTCAAACAAAAGACGTTGTAAAGATATTCAGCCTTGCGACTTGAATGCTTTTAAATCCAGCATTGACCTTATAAATTTGGAAACGCCTTTGCTTCTTTCATTCATTTTTCGCTGCGCGTGCAATGTAATATTTTCTTTCACTTGATAAAAATGCGTGTTTTAAATAATTTGACGATTTCTCGGCTTCTCAATATTTCCCCGATATTGCGGCATTTCTTTCCCATACACTTGACGTTTCTTCTTTGCCGATTTCTCATGATTCGAAATAGAAAAACACTTCCTAATCGCCATTCTAGCTTACTAACTCTAAACTTTGTAAACTTTTTCATTCAGCGGATTCGCCAATGTTGAAGCGGGTAAAATCGAAAAGAAAATCGATGGATCCGGTAAATTTTTTCCGTTTACTAATCTAAACACAGTATAGGGAGATCGTTTCGCGCAAAGCTCGGCAAAGAAAGAACGCCAGATTGGAGATCGATGGTATCAAGAAGATCTGGAAAAAATTGAAGAGATCAAAAAAGACAAAGAAAAGAAGAGTTTCTTTGGCTTGGGCAGAATTCTTACAAGAATGCGGAGTGGATCAAGGTGAGTTTTTGTGTGATTTAGGGTTTATTTTGATAGCATTTGTAGTGTTAGCATGCAACATGCATATTACTTTCTTTACGTTTAATATAAATGCTAGCAGTGGTAAATTTTAAGAATCTGAACAGCAGGCATAGAGAACTCTAGCTAAAGCTTTAAGGTAATCAGCGTTTCTAACTAAAAGCAACGTGAAATGCTTGAATCAATTTAAAATTGATAATTTTGCATCGAGTTTGTCCTAAAAATGTATTTCTATGTCTAGGTTGACCACTGAAAGCACATCAAAACTACCAAGGATGGAAGCACTTATGCCAGAGGTTTGACGATGACAAGTAAAGTAGAAAAACTTAGTTCAGAAACCATCCAAACAAATATTTGACACTATTGTTGAGCGCGAAACCACACCCGAGGTTAAAAATATCAGGGTTTTGAAAAAGCCACCTTCATTTTTCTAGAGCGACGCACCTCATCAGTTGCCACTTTCGATCAAACGTAACACTCACCTCAAAAGTTTCATTTGCGAGCAACCGGTATTTCTTTGGCGATGTACTAACTTCACTAGTTTTGTTCAAACGTTTCTTTTCTTATAGTTAGTTCCGTAATGTTTTACTTCTCATTTACGCTTCAATCAAACCTACACTAAACGACACTTAATTTTCTATTCCAGATTCGTGAATCCCCTGAATACGAAGAAGGCAAAGAGAACGAAGAGATGTTTTTGGTCCCAAGTCGCAAAGGTAGCTATAATAGTACGTTTTTATCGCTTTTATTTAGACATCTACGTGTTTTGAAACTTTTATCCAACTAAAATTTTAGTGGGTCGGCGAAATCTTCAGGCAGACCAAACCGATGACTCTCAATCTGATCGCCAATCAATTCGGGGCGTGCAGTTTTCCGCTTCCCAGTCAATGGTTGGGCTTTTTATTTATTTTAGAACTTCGGTTTTGTTTCAGATAGATGCATCAGCTTCAACAAGTTTGATTACGCCAAAGCGAAGCTTCAAACAGCCAGATTTGCCAACTACTCCTCTCAAAACTACGGGTACAGTTGACATTACCTAATTTAGCAACGCTTTGTTCAGAAATTACAACTCCAAAGAGTGGACTCCGAAACAGTGGCTTCAGTAGCTCAACATTGCATAGAATTAGTGGTCTTTTAAAACGAGGACTTAGCTCAGGTAAAAGTCAATATTTTTAGAAAGTCTTTTTTTACGTCTTTAGTTGGTCCCAAGACTTCTGGACAAAATGCTTCTCCGATGGTAAAGCTTGGAAGAAAAGATTCAATCAATTCAGCCAAGAGCACTGGGAGCCGTAGACGACGATTTAGTGACGGTTTTTAAATATGTAGTAGAGAAACAATTCATTTTTATTTTTAGTTGATTGCTACAGTCATCTGCAACAAGTTCAGTTCACTCCCACCTCCTCATTCAGATCCATCGGAAATCCTGAAGGTAGCATGAGTCTTCAAACTTTTTTAACACGATGATTTTTAGCTGTAAGAAAATTGGAACGATTTAAAGAGGTCGTCAAAGTGTCAGAGCTCATTGCAAAACAAGAGGTATAACAAAACATTGAAATTTTATACTTGTATTCAAATATTATAGCTGGAAGCCTGTTTCCATGGAGGAAACGTTCCCGAATTTGATGCCGTTGTTGCGGATGCAGATATGACAGGAAAACCAGTATCAAATTTCTCTGCATGGCTTTTTGAACGTTTTGATATCACACATCAGGTCGTTGTTGCTTTTAAATTTCAAACTCGCCTTTTAGGTTTCTGATATGATGAAAGCATCTTGCCGTCAAATTATGCACAATAAGACTATTAAATTGTGTGTATCGCAAGGAACGTCGCGGGAATTTTGTAAGATAAACTTTTACGAGCTTGTGAAATTTATATTTTAGTGATTGCGATCGGTATTGTACGCGGCGGTGGCGGGGATCAGGGAGCGATAACTCGAAATGGGTATGATTCTGCCATTGAAGCCGCGCTAGATGAGGGAAAAACAAAAGTGGTGGGTTTTAAGTAAGATGAAAGTTCATCATTAACCACTCCGATCTTTGTTCATTTAGTTGATCGCACCAGCATTTTTCCCAAATGATACGCCGTACACCGAGGAGCTGGCTAGTGCGATGATCAAAACGGTGTATGTCATTGCTAGTTCTAAGGGAAAGGTAAGTTGTTTCAATGTATTTTTTCAATGATTCTTTATGTCCTTTTGCAGCTGAAGTCAATTACAATTTGTGGAGGGAACAGTGCCGAACGGAGTTTGCTGATTAGACAACGTGACGATGTACAGTTTTCTTCTTCCATCATATTAATGGAATATTTTAGGTGATTGCTGAGAAACAAGAAGCGATGGGACCCATCATCTAACAAATTTCGTCTATAACTTTGAAATACTTGATTATTGTTGTTTTTGTTTCCTTAATAACATTTTTCACATTTTCACTTTTATGCTTTTATCCGATGATCTCATTGCCTTTAAAAAATACCTCTTGTTTTGCTGAAATAAAACTTTTTTGGATGAGTAGATTGCACAGCCGTGTTTTGGCAAATTTATATCGATCCGATTGGTTTCCAGATGGATTTAAGAAATATCAGTTGATGGCAAGGCATTTGATTGAATTACGGCACTGAATGAAAAAACACTTTTTTGAGAAGTCGTAGCTACTGTTTTACTACATTTAACCTATGGGCACAAATTACATAATAAAGGAAAAGTTAAAATGTTTTCTCAGCTCAGTCGGACCATGTTTGCCCAGTGGAAAAAAATAAAGTACAAGTTTAGAACAATCAATACGGGTAAACGATGAATCAAGAGCAAAAGTATGAAAAAAATGATGAATCAAATGGAAGCCAGGTTAGTACTAAAGTGTACTGGTGTCAAGCATTTGTTTTTTAGGCAACAAGATCAATTTTTGCCAGTGTCTCGGCTAATAATATGGTAAGTACTTTCGTATTTTTAACACCGCCATTCCATTCTAGACACCACAAGCAATGGGAACATCGAGAAGCAATGAGAACCGATTCTCGTGAGCTAAAGGTTTCTGTATTTGAATTATCAATGTTGAATTTAGCACATTTCCCTCTAAATTGTCACAAGAAGCCGAACATGCCAAACAACAAGAAATGCTGCTTTATCAGAAACTTCAGCTAGACAGAAGTGCTGAGGTAAATATTTGCCAAAGAATATGCGGTATTTCTTAGTAACTTTAGCACGAACGAGATCGAAGAGAAAGAGAAGCCAAAAGGAGACGGCTTGAGAGGTGGAAGGACAATCGCAGAGCGCCAAGAGTGACCAATCATGGTGACAGTGACAGCGATAGCGACGGAGCCCCAAAGGTATCAATTAAATTTTTTTGAGCAAACAGAGTGCTGAATGAAAAACTTGTAAATTAAAAATGTGGCAATGTTTTCAGTCTCGGAGTACGCTTATATGTTCGGATGGAGAAGGGGGAGAAGATGAAGTGGTAAGTCATATTTGCTATTGTTCATTTTAGTTTTCGTTAAATTTTAGCGCGAAGAGGAGATGTTGCGCCCGAAGGTTAACAACAGCGTTCAAGTATCAAGAGTTGCACAAGGAAAATTCCGGTATGTTTTGAGTCAGGTTGACAAATTTAAGTACTTTGTCACTTTAGGAATGTCAATCCGCTTCGTTTGAATCAACTGCTTTTACTCAACGCTGGAGACAAACCAGAATCACAGCAATCGTCGTCTCAACAAAGACCTGCAAATGTCCAGGTTTCAAGTCTTTTTATATAATACGTCAAAATGAAATTTAGTTAACTCAGGCAAAAGACGAAATTTCAACGTCCCGAAGAAGCGATAAGAAGAAGCGCAAATCTTTAAGCGATGCAGATCGAAATCGACGTCGAAAGAAGTCACGCTCCTCTGGCCGAAAGGTATCTGTTCAATAGGAAACATGTAGAATGCTTTTGTAAAAGAAAAGCTGTCTCAGGCTATAACGTTTTTAACTTGTAGGATTCAAAACGCAAGAAAAGACGTCACCGTGATAGCTCGTCTTCGTCCAGTTCTAGCGATCATAGCAGAAAACGCTCTCGTCACTCAAAGTATTCAATTTTGTGCGCAAGTTTTAAAGAGGGAAAAGTTCAGTCCTATAATCTAAAACTTTCAGAAAGAAACGCCATCGTCGAGACTCTTCATCATCTCCAAGGTGCAGAATTGTATGTGTTCTAATAACGGCATCCTTTAGTTCCGGCGCTTCTCGCAAACGAAGACCAAAAGAAAAATGGTGCTTCCTTGATGTGAAAAATCTAGATGTTACAAGCAGGCTTGGATTTGATCGTGCAACTATTTTTGACAGGTGTAATTTATCCATGATCTCTAATTTTACAATTTTTAGAGAGCCTAGCATTGAGCTTTTTCAGCATGATCACGTTTATAAACGAGAAAGAGTTCAGGTACTTCAAATGTTTTTGACCAATGATATATCCTTTTTTAGTATAATATAAAGTGTTTGATCGTCCTTGGACCACGGATTGCGCAGACGCAACGACAGTTTTATGAGCAATGGTCAAGGGTATTTTCAAAGTTAACTTTTTCGTAAATGACTAGCGTTTAGGAAATCTACGGTGAAGGAACGTTTTCGAAAGCAAAGCCAAAACGCATTTTTGACCGCCGAATTCGTTGGTCTGCAAATCCAGAGAATTACTTCGCCACGTAATTTTTTATTCTTATTGCTTTTAAAACTGTTATTTTTTAGTAAATGTGGTCCAATTGTTGATTACATGCCTTTAAGCAGTGGACGTTTGGATAGACCAACGACTGTGGTTTGCTGCTAAAAATGTATTTTTAAATTCTGATATTAGGACGAAGAAACAGACATGCAGATGAGCAAAAATGAAGACATTTCCACCGATCAAATGCTTATCGAAATTAAAGGAGGGGGAAAGTCAAGACGAATAAAAGAAAAGCTGAAAGTTTGTTCGTCGATGTTTCCTTTTATCAGCTTCAACTTTAGGATATTAATGAAGCGCTGAATAAGGCAAGAGCTAATTCAACAAGCAAACGAGTTGCTATTGAGTCGTTATGGATTAAAAAGCTTGAACTAGAAGATGCCGATCACGAACACCAAGCAATTAAACTCCAAGACGCAGGAGAAGCTCCACCGACGGAACAACAGTATTTGGCTGTCAAGGTATTTGTTTAAATTGGGAATGAAAATATTGCTACACAAAAACTTTCAGATGAGCAAAATCGATGCAGCAACAAAGGAAGTCCCTAGTTCGTTAATGCTTTTCAAAGTGGCGATTTCGGTAAAAAAGGAAGTATTGACCGAAGAAGAAATGAATACGTCAGTTTAAATCTGAACTTGGTTTTATATGGTTTTTGTAGGTTGTTCACTTCAAAAATTCAAGCATTTGCTTCTGATCCCAATTTTTGGGATTTATGGATTGACACTTTGCTTTACGATATGAAGTTTTATAATGCGAAGCGAATTGTAAATTTCTTTCTTCAACGTCATTATCGATTCATTTAGGACGAGATTTTCAATGAAGCCATTAAAAGATTGGATGCAATACTGCGAGGAGAATACAAGTACTTCAAAGAATATTAAAAAATTTTAATTGATATTGAACGTACATCCATACATAATTTTCCGAAAAGTAGCCACTTATAAAATTCTGGCAAGCATACGTTTTGAGCAACAAACACATTTTAGTGTTCCCCGAAATCTGACAGATGACAAAACCAAAAAGGGAGCGATTCTGTTGTTGCTGCAACGACGAACTGAGCACCTCATTCAATCGGGCTCGGCTGCAAAAGCTGTTGCTTTCTCTCAAGTAATTTTTGATTGAACTACAAAAATATTAATGGGTTTAGGCGATACTTGGACATTTGTGGATCCCCGCGCAGTTTGTCGCAGATCTGGATTCTCGGGATAAGAAAAAGGTTCTGCGAGACATTCAAATATGGGTTCATTTTCCCTTTTAGCTTGAACAAATTGCAAAATCGCTGGAAGGTTATTGGGATAGCGGCGCAGCAAAGATTGGAGATGCAAATGCAATCTGTAAGTTTTTTAATACATCCAGTAAACATCTTGTTTTCAGTGTGGAAAAACTGGAATGCTAACGAAACTTACGCTGAGCCTGAAATCGCCGAAGAAAATCAAGAGCTGCATTTCCTGGAAACACAGTTAATTATTTTTTTTAAATTTTTATATTTTTTTCTTAGAATGGTCAAAGGGATTGCAGCAAAATACGAATATCAGCTTGCTCGTGCTAAGCTCTGGGCAGAATTGGAGCGACTCCGTGAGAATTATTATTGCCGGCCCATTCGAATAAGCAATGACGACTTTACGGTAAAATCCCAGGATTCCGTCATGCTGTAGTACTGAAAGAGTTCGTTAGAAGAAGATTGGTATTTTTAGGCAGAGGATTGGTCTCGCCTGATTAGATTCGAAGACCTAAATCTCCCCAACATTGATAATGATCGTGTAGCTCTGTTCGCAATTCGATTACCAAATACGTTTGGACGCCGACGACCTTTTATGGTTATTTTAATGTATATTAAATATTTAGAAACCCAAGTTTTAGTGGGATTCGATTCCGCTTATTGCTAAAGAGTTTGGTGGATTTAACATCGACTCTCGTGTGCCTAAGAATCTCGGTTTAGGTTAAATGAGTTTTTTTAAATTTAACTGTCTTAGATTTATTTGTCGATCGTCTTTGTAAGAAGCTCTCAATAGAGGTTTCGAACAAAACAGTTGCTCGGATTCATCTATCTTTTCGGGTGTTAAGGTTAATATTAATTTCATTACTAACAAGCTATTTATTTGTAGAATTTTTGATGACGTTGATGACGAGAATATGGACGCTACCGGGAAGCTGCGAGAATTGCTCAAACAAATTAGCATGTAAGTTAGTAATTTTTCAGCCCTTTTCAATCTTTAAGTTATTTGTTTTTTAGGTTAACTATGGAGCTTCAAAAAGTGGGCAATGAAAGAAAGATTGTTATATATCCATCTATTTTGGCAATGCGAGAGGTTTGCATTCATCGCTTGTTTGCAAACGAATATATTTAGGCTGCGAAATGGTTCGAAACTGCACGCACTAGTCAAATGCAACTCGTTTTTATAAAGGCGATCGCAGTGGTAGCTAATTCAGTTTTTTTTTAGCAATTACTCATGCTTCTAGATTTGGTCTCAAATCTCAGAAGACATTTCTTGCAAGAAGAATTTTTTAAGCATTGAGGATCCAATGATATTTTCGCTTTATGCGACACTGCTATACTTATTGATTCAGGTAATCCCTTATGGTAATGCTGCCATTTTTTGAATTGCAGATAGTGGACCGTCCATCGTTTACGATTTGGCTTCTAACAAAAGTTGCAACAGATGTTTTTCCGGCTACCAAAGATGTAATGATTTTTATAAGTGATCTATATTGGAATCATTTCAGCTATTGGCAAAAATCAGTGAAGAACCAAAGTTGTCGGGGCCAGAAGTACTCTTGGGAGTTCAAGCATGGACTCAACGCGAAGGATTTTACACTAGTATGACCATGGAAACTGAGGTGAATCAAATACTTTGCTAAACACATTACGACTTTGTAACAGTTTTTTAAAGCAAAATAGATTTCCATCACTCAAAAAATGTAAAATATGTACATATAAAATTTTTGAAAAGGTCTTCTTTCAGTTGACGCCACTTGGGCTTTATCAACCGGCTACAATCTTCTCTGTACTTTTTATGCATCTACAATATGTGGTTGGACAAGGTGCCTCGAAGGAAAGGTTTGGTTGGCTCGATATGGCGGATTGAGGAAATAAAGTTTAGATTTGAATCTCGCTGGAAAGCAATGCGAAGTTTGGTCACAACTCTTAATATTGATTTTGATGGGGCATTTGCTATTCGAGAAGCCGCGAAGTTAATTGAGGGTCACAATGTAAGACATTTGCATTTTTTCTACGTAAAATTATTTGACATTCAGAAACGATACCGCAATGGCTCATCAAAACTTTACGAAATTTTGTCTTTTGGAACGCAAAGGTATCCAAGTGATATTCAACTGCGCAAAATGGAATGTGAATCGCACATCACGAGGCCTTTCTTGCAGCGAACTATCTTTGGAAAAAGACTTCGAGATGAACATCAAAAAGGCAAGTTTAGTCGTTAAATAAAAGATTATTAGAATTTGAGCGTTTGTAACGAAAATCAAGGAAAAATTTTAGCCATTGCATCAAAGAATATCGTTGATTCACGAATTTTGGCAGTAACGCGAACGTATTTTTCTCGACGAGTCTTTGAGCATATTATGTTGAGATTGGAAACGGTTTGTTTTGTTAAATTGCTTGTTCTAGACTCTTTTCAGAAGGAGACGGCCCAGACGACTTTGCGTTTATTGATCAAAGAATACCAAGACGTGGCTACTATGTACGTTAACTTTGACGCTTACAACTTACTTGTTTAGGCAAAAAGAACCGTTCTTTTGGTGTCAACTGATTAGTCTCTTCATCGAACGAAATGAAATCGAAAATGCGTATGAAGTTAGTTTATCGAATTTAACTGTTATGACATGTTCATACTTTTAGGCATACATGCAAGGGGCAAAGAGTTGTGTTTGGTCCCGAGCCTTGCATCTTCATTGGGCTAAATATGCAAATCCAGCACAAGTCGAGCAAATTCAAAAGCTTATGGCACAAAAGGTTTGCTCTTTTCCAAATTGACTTACTCAATTGATCTTTTAGGACATCAAGATGCTCATAGAAGAAGAACTTGTCGACGAATATCTCAAGATCAACGCCAAGGGCGTGTTGCTTTAATAAAAACGATTTGGAATGCTCATTGTTTGTGCATTTGTAATTTTATGTTTGTTTTGTTTAACGATTCGGATGTTTTACGTTATACGGGTTTATAATTTGGATGGTCACAGGATATATTACGTGTTAAATTGTTCCACAAAAGATTTTAATAAATTTCTATTTCTATGTTCTATTGGCTGAAATGAGGAGCTCAATCTACTTGAAATTTCTGGAGAATGATGTTGTAGGCAGCCTGAATGAAATCCTTTATTTAGGTGTCTCTCGCAATGGATGTTGATGAAGAAGAGGCACTTGAGTCAACTTGTGGAGCTGACTGGTTTAATCACCTGCCAGCGTAAATTTTTGTGCTAACTAGGATTGTAATTTTTCACTTTATAACTGCTTCCAAATGCGCAAGGATTTTTAACTTTAGCAATGCCGGACCTGATCATCATGACATCTCTTCGCAAGCCGTTTGGACGTTGAGCTCTTGTAAAGCAGGTTTCGTTAAATGTAGCAGAAAAGGTTCAGCAGCGTTTAGGCTTTGGTATTCACGAACTTTTGTCGGATAGCCACGAGGTTTGGTTTTAATTCGCTCTCTCTCTCTGAAGCATCTATATACTTGTTTCATTCTTGCTAATCGGGAATTCTTTCTTTGTGATCTTTTTATGAGTTTTTTTATCTGTGTGATCTGTGATGTTTTTTATTTTACATTGTTTATGATCAAACTTTAGTCATATTGGCAATCAGATGGTCCTCAACCACATTCGGTAATTTTCGAGTGTTAATAGAAATTAATTTTAATTTAAAATTTAGGTTACCATCGAATTTCCACGAAAGACGGATATTTCCTTTTTGTTTCTGTACTTAGATTTTAAGACCGATGAAAGTTACACGCCCAACAAGTAAGTAAAGCGATCGCCTATACAGACAGTTCAACGAGTTTTGTTTAGGGTGACCGTTCACTTGGGATCGTGCATCATGCATTTGGATGATGGACTTTCGGTGAACTTTGACGAGCCTCAAGGATGGCAGGTAGAAAATACAACCATTCTGTTACTGTTAGTTAATTGTTAGGTGATCGATCTACGAAGCCGTGGAAAAGGCAAAGCCGCACGAGCTTGGGTGGTGCAGCTACAAGTGCTCACAAATCATCAGAATGGCCGCGATACACATATTCGGTATAGTTTTATGTAAAGACTAGCTCTAGCTCGTATGGATAGTCCTGATTCCACATTTTAGACACATGCGAGTGGTTGGACCGAAAAGCCGTTATGCTCACCAAGTCGAGGATTCTTTTATGGCACAGCTCAGGTTGAGTGGACCAACGAGTTCCGGTCGCAACACGAAAAACGAGCGGAAACAAAACGAAACACCCGCGTTCTTGAGTAAATTACAAAGGGATCTTATTATTCGCTGAAAAGTGACTATGTCTTGTAAATAGTGCTCATTGTGTTGTCATTATCCATTTTTGATGTACGTCGATTTAATGTAAAATAAACCATTGCTAAATGTTTCCACAAATGTTTTAAAACTGTTGGCCGCTGAGTTATTTATTTTTTTTGGTGGCGAGGATATAGGTTACTGTAATCACTTTAAGTTTTGATGAGCATTGATGAAATTTCGGAGTCCGTGCCAGATCTTCTGGAATCGCTCACCAGTGGACAAAAGAAACTCGTCGATTTCATCGAGGAATTGAGGTAAATCTCTTGCGCTTATCTTGCTAACCGACCAAGATTTAGACCTTTTGTCACTTCGAAAGATGATTTGAAAAGAGAGGCCGGCATTAATGTTTATGCATCTGTCATTAAGAAACTTCCTTCTGACTTTCTTCTATCATCAGAAGGTAGATCTTTTGGGTAGCTACCTAAAACTCAATTTCAGTGGATCTCCTATTAAAATTTTTTGTTGTGCAGCTAGAATGCTCGCCAATTAACGGGGGAACTGTTGTTGAGACAATTCGACACTTGGTAAATGCTTTGTTTGCTGGAAAACTCATTGCAATTTAGTCCTGTAATACGGAGAACTTCTCAAAAGAGGCGGCTTTTCTATTAATGCAAGATGTTTTTCTTCAAGGAAACATTCAGGTCAATATTATCTTTCATTCATATTATCAATACTGGGTTTAGTCATGGCCTCAACGAACACGAGCAGATTTCTATGCTATTTTCGAGATGATAGTCACAAAATTCGAGAAAGGTCTTACAAATTCAACCTTTAGTCACCTATCTCATTTTAGAGCTGAAAATGTTGGGCTCAGATGTGACCTCGGCATTTATCAACATGATGGGTGGTGAAAGGTTTTATTTGTAATCTATCGTTTTATTGAAGTTTTATAGAGATCCTCGTTGTTTGGTTCAAGCCTTTCGTCTTCATCTCCGCATTTCTAGTAGATTCCCTCTGGGTAGCTTGGCTTGAAATTTTTGTTCAACAAATTGTACCCTAGGTGATTTGGCTGAAGACCTTTTTGAAGTAATCGCTTGCTATTATCCGATTGAATTCAAACCAGTAAGCAAATCCTATTATGATTGTTAATTAATTGAAAGTTTAGTTGCCAGGACAAGAAGATGTGACATCAGACATGTGAGTTCGAGATAACTAAAGCAAAATAGCAAATTATTTTGTGTTTTAATGAGTTGTCATTTTAGGTTAACTATTATGGTGGAAAACTCCTTTTTGGCTCACTCGGCGTTTGGCCCATATTTATATGTGATGATAGAGGTTGGAGATTTTCGTATTGCACTGTACCAAAAGTTGTTTTAGGAAAAGCTTCGTGATGAAGAAACGACACAAGAGCAAAAATTCAACGTTTGTTCACTTTTGGTACGTTCTAGTGATTTTCAATAGCCTTTCAGTGTATGAGAAACTTTTACATCTAAATCTAGGCCAAAGCGTGCAAGACTTTCCCGCCGACTTTACTGCTCCCTCATATTGAACACATTTTTGGTGCGATTCGAATGGTGGCGTTAAATCCGAAGTATAAGGTAGGTAACTTTTGAGCAAGATTGTTGGAAAAGCCAAAGTCATGGCTACCTTTAAAGAGAATCGATGACTACTATCAAGAGTTATTCAGGGAACCTTGAAACTTGACGGGAATTTGACTGAAGCCCTAGTTTCTGTTTTTATGGCTCTACAAGCAACCGAACGAGACGATTTAAAAGCAACGATCAAGGAATTCATGCAAAGTATTTGGCAGTAAAAAACTTTTAATTTAATTCGTGAACAGATTGTGAGCCATTCGTTGTGCAGGTGGAAATGGGACTCCAATCGAAGGCCTTGGCTTTGTTAGAGGTAATTTTTATATCTTATTTCAAATGGTTAAATTTATAGGCTTTAACCGATGAAAGACTAAATCAACACTCGTCCGACGAACGAGTTGGAAAAATGGTTTTGGAATACATCATTAGTTGGCTTGTGCTTGTTGTGCGAGGTTAGTTTGTGTATCAGTGGTAGATTTAAAGTCTTTTTTACAGGACAAACAATTAACGTGGCCGAGAATAAAGCTGAATGTATCAAGGAAGCATTGGAAAGACTATCTTATTTTGTGGCATTTGCGGCTAACAATGGATATGGTAATTGTTTGAAATTATGTGATAGGATATCAATTTTAGAGGCGCTTTTATACGACTTGTTTCTCCCGATTTTGGATGCTGTTCAATGTTCGCGGGAATGGGTACCAATTGAGGCAAAAATATGCAACTACAAGTGTTTGCAGGTTTAAAGTTACCATCTATAAAAACATGTAGTTTTTAGGAATATGCTCGTTTTATCAATCAGAATCCTTCAATATTTTCCGTGTTTTCGGACGAACTGAAGGCTGGAATAAAATTGGTTGACACGGAGCAAGAAAGGTTTGTCGTTTTTCTCATAATTTCATTGTGCTCATTTTAGAAAAGAATATCTGTCATTTGTTACATGCTTTGCAAAGAATGTGAGGGAATGGAATGCGGTTTGGACAATCATTCAAAGTTGTTCCGATTTAAGTAATTTTGTGTTTTCTAACGCATTTAATCTTGATTTAGACATTTCAAAGTATTTTGCCACGATTTGCGCGGCAACAATTGATGAGGATAGCTACAAGACGATAAGAAAGATCATACAAGATTCCCTAAACACAGGTACAATTAAATTCAAATAGAGATAAGCGCTGTTTAGATGATTTCTCTGCCCAAATTCAAGAAATATTGAAAATGGTCACGCGATTAAATGAGGGGATTATTGTTTCAATTATCGAACAATTAATCGAATTTGCTACAAAAGAGGTAAGCATTAAAAGCAACAGTGAGCTTAAAACATACTCATAAATAATCCAATCCTTTTTAGACCCACTGGGAAACGCTACCGGATTTGGTCGAACTTTTTGCCACATCGTTGCAAGAGATTGGAACATATTTAGACGAGTAATTTAAATTCAAAAGTTATTAGATTATTTTGAAAATAGGTCGCACGCAGCCATAACTATGAAAGTATCTGAAATGTCGGCGATGAAGCCAATTTATCAAAAGATTTTCTACTTATTTGTGGCTCAAACACAGGTAATTAAAATGGCACATGGCTTTTCTATGGCCCTTTTAGGAAGTGAATCACTTGCGTAAATTGATGATGAACGAACAATTTGAATTGGATGCACGTCTTTTGTTTTTCTATTCTCTAATCAACAGAACTCAAGCCACGTCAACAGTAAGATTGATGTGATTTTATTTTTTGTATTAGTATTTAGGAGATTCCTGTCAATTTATCGCCAAAAGAACATGAATTGTTTCAAACATATTTCGTGAAAGCTGCATTATTGAACGGACCGTGGAATCAACGAGGATCACCTGAATGTAAAGAGGTTTGTTGAACTATTAACAGCAAAAATGTAGCTTGAATACAGCTACTTTCTCGAATCGCTTCTGGGAGCATATCTTCTGATGGAACCGAGTTACTACGAATAATCTTTGACTTCACTTCATCAAAGTTCGACCCAATTCGTGGGAAATACAAGAGAAGCATTTTGTACCAACAGAGGTCAGTATTTGATCAGTTGATCACAAAAGATGGTTTTATTTAGGATATTTTTCTTGTTTCTCCAAACATTTGATTCAACTATTGAAGATCTAAACGAAGGTTTGTCGTTAATGTATCTAATTACCGGAAAAATGATAGAGTCAAAGATGAAACTCATCTCAACGATTTCACCGTTTCTTCATTATGCGCAAAACGTCCCCGACGCTGGGCAAGCTTTGGAAAAGGTATTTTTGCGATTGCTCACGATATGAATATAAAACATTGAACTGCTAGAGTTTCTACATTTATCTTTACAGTTGCAACCGCTTCTGATCAATGCTTTGGCTTCTCCATTATTGGCCACGCTAAAAGATGACAGGGCGCAATTCTTCGCAGCGTTGACTTTTTTACTCGCCATCACAAAACTTGCTGATAAAAGTCGAGCTGAGATTGAAGTTCTTTTGGCTTTATTTGGAAGGGAACTCGAACAAGAAGCAAATATGGTAAAGCTTTACAAAGAAAAGTGACGTTTATTTTTAAAAAACGAATATTTTAAAACAATAAAAGGTTTCACTTTCAATTTTCAGGCGACAATTGTGAACAGCTTAAATGGACTCGAAATCCTTGCGAGTGAAGCAAACCCTGTCTACCTTCAAGCACATATTAACAAGGTTTGCGTGTCTTTATAAGACTTTCTTTACACTTAAAAATATTTTAAGGTAGTTACTGTTGTTATTCGATTCACAGCGCACAAGAAAAGGATAGTCAGACAGAAAGCGGCTAAGGTTATCAATTTATGGTAAGTTTGTGTGTTTCAAATTTTGTTAATTTCTCTTTCAGGGAACTGTTGTTGATGAAATGAGCGTGGATTAAGAAGGAAAAAAAATTTCTTTAGTTAGTTTTATTGTTGATTTTCTAGTTTTAGACTGTTACTGGATTATATTTTGCTCAAGTTGTTTTTTCGTACTTTTAGCTTATTGTGATACATTTTATTGCGAAATTTAGAAAGAGAATCGAAAAGTGAAATTGTTTTCAACACAAGGCACATGGCGGTAGCCGTCCAACAAGAATTAATCACTAAAGAGTGCAAGGTAAAAAAATTCCAAATAAAATTCATGCAAAAAGAGACGAATCTGTAAGATTACAGTTCCAGTGAGCAAAGCAGGTGTGCATAAAGAAGACGAAAAGATATAAATTGTATTGGGAAAATGGAAATTCGAGGCAGAACTAAATTCGAGTTTTGTCTCATAAATGTATCTATTACAGATCTTATGGTAGGCAATCGAGGAGATCACAACAAATAACCAATTCAAGATGTATGAAAACAAAGCGTGCCGTATGCCCGTAGCTAAACTACGAGCTTTTTCCAAACCACCTCTAAGATGGGGCTCAGACTATGAGAATTGGGGTTATTACAGGCAATACCGTATGTGCAAAATGTCAATTTACAAAAAAAGTCCAAAACTATTTGAGACCACATCGAATCATTGGCTTGAGCCATTTTGATCATTGTCGAATGTCGGAAAATATAAAAGAGAAGAATCTGAAAGCGTTATTGAAAACTTCTATCGTCTCGCTTCATTTAACTCACTTTCTTTAAGTCGTAGCAATTGATCGTGAGGCCATTTTTGAGAATATGGATGATTTGAGGAAGAAACAACTAAAAGCATTTGAATATTTGAATTTTCAATGAAAGTATTTCATAGCCAAATAACTTTTAACAGCTACTTTTTATCGGTTTTGACTCACCTGAACGGGGAACTTTGTTTCGCAAAATGCGACTGATCGATGAGACTGATGGAACAGATTCGGCGGAAATTAACTGAAAAGAGTTTATTTCTTTTTGTTTGAGACTTTCAGATTTTGAGTTTTTAGGTATTTTTACTTTAGCAGTTACAATGAAACTACCGTGAATACTGTAATAGTACCCCACCCTCCTCGTACAGTCGCGTAGTCGCAAAAGTTTTTTAGTATTTCATTTTTTTTCAAAGCACCCGTACTTCCAAAAAATGCGTCTTTGGTATGAAAAAATAGCCCTGAATTTCAGCTATTTTTTGATACCTAAACGCGCATTGTAGCATAAACCAGTGTCGAGAGAAACTCGTTCAAAGCTAGACTACGCCACATTCCGCACCGTCATTATGGGGATGGGGTACTATTACAGTATTTACGGTAGGTATTCAGTCAAAAAGAAAATTCTTGATGTTAGGTAATCTTCTGAAAAGTAAATTTTAACTATGGAAAATATAAAAGGCTCTAACAATTTATACTAATTAAATTCATAAACGAATTTGATAAGAGAATATGGAGAAGCTTAAACGATTTTCTGCAGCCAAACGAGTGAATGAGAAGCGAATGAGAGAGGGTAAATATTTAGAATAAACCCAGAAAAAGAAAAGAAATCATTGCCTCTCTTTCATTTGATTTTCTCTATCATTTCTCGTGCTTTTTCTTTCTTTCTCTTTTCTTTCTCCTTTCTTTCTTTTTCTTTACTTACCCTATCAGAAATGAGTCTCTCTCGAATCTCCCATGCAAATAGAGATGGATCTGAGGCTTTCAGTGAACGAATTCTTTCGATTACCTGTAAAGGAAGCGAAAGGAATTGAAAGAATGAATGAGAAATGATTTTATTGTGAAAAGCATCGTATGTACGACTGTTTTTGTATTAGAGCGAAATCCGAAAATTTTCATTTTCATTTTTTCGGTTTATCTAGATCACTCGCATGGTCACTAGGCCTTTTAATACGGCTAACTAGGTCAAGATGGCCTTTTAATACGCCTAACTAGGTCAAGATACCCTTTCAATACGGCTAACTAGGTCAAAATGGCCTTTTAATATGAGAGGCTTTATAGAAACGGTTATGCTGATTCTGAATATGCTTTTACTTTTTCTTAATAAGCTCTGTAACGCGAGATATCTGACATCAAAGTTTAACCCGATTTTCGGAGTCGTTATAAGCTATAAGCCTTTTCTCTCTTCGTTAAAAAGAGAGCTAGTGGCCGCGGGGGATAGTGTGCTCGTCTTGGGAAACTGGTTCGAGTCCACCGTTGCCCTGGTTCGAGTTCTCCCGGAAACTCTTCTTAGTTTCTTTGAGAAAATGATGAGAGTGTGTCCCTCTTATTACACTGTATGAGCGCGCACTTTGGAGCCCCGAAACTCACCTTAAAACACCCTTTCCCAAGCTCTCGTTGTGTTTTTCGGGATCTACGCATAAAAACACCCCAGCAAGAAAGGTTTTGAATAAAAAAAGTGCCCCCCAACCGGCATATGTTAATAGTGAAAAGTAAAGATTTTTATGAGAAGTACTTTGAAAAAGACTTGGATTGGAAATGGAGAGCAATTACCCCTAAAAAGGCGAAAAAAAATTTGAACTGCGAACTCGAACCCGAGACTGTTTGCCTCGTATCCCAGTCGACTACCACTCTGCCACCAATGCTCTTTAATGTCTTTGGGAAATCTGCTGATAAACTCGAGGGATGATTTTTAAAATCCCATACAAAACTTTACAGGCTTATAAACTTTTGACAGAGCAACGTTTAGCAAAAACGGAAAGCAGATTCGGATTCAGCGTGAAATTCTGCGTCCATAGGTTTATGGCTCATGTCATTTGGCCAGCCTATCCAGTTGACTTTCCCTTGTCAGAATCAGCAAAGCCGGTTCTATAAAGCCCCGTGGCTCTCGTATTAAATGGTCACCTTGAGCTGGTGCCTTTTCCTAGTCAAATAAATGAAATCTTGAGCTTTTTCACTCTGAAATGCTTTAAATATAAATTATAGGTTAAAAAGAAACTTAATTGCATCGAAAATCGCATAAAAAAATCCCCAAAAGTCACTAATTTTTGGCCCTTGATAATTCGAGTACATTAAATTTAATTCTGGGCAGAAAAGCAAACAGTTTGAAGAAAAACTAACAAGATTACGGTATTTAGAAAACCCTAGGCCCATAGAAAGCCCTAGGCTTGCTCACCCACCTCGGGAGTTGTCACTCGCGGCTTGCTTCCGCCTATCGCTCCCGGATAAACGCTACCACTCTCGTGAAATCTGAAGCGAGTTTTAAATCCCTTCATTGAATGACAGAGTTGCTCGAAAGCTGACTAACTTGGCCAAAATCTTGCTCACACATCCATGCGAGACTTTAAGCTCTCGACTGATGTCACACGGACGAACGCCGCACTGAGACAACTCGACGATTCGAACGCGTAAATTAATTGGAAGCGGGCGACCGTTCACGAAAACCTAGAAAGCTATTGTTTTAAAAGATTTAAAAGAAATTAAGAACTTAAGAACTGAAAACTATTCATTTTCTTTCCACTCACTCCTCCCAATTGATTCACTTCGCCGAAGATTGCCGTGTCCGATAGAGAGCCTGGAATTGTCATTGATTGATTGTCAAATGGTGTCAAAATGCTGCTCTGGCAAAAGCCGAATTGCATTTAAATTCTTTTACTCTCACCTTCTGAAGAAGTGGATGAAGTGGGAGGATCGAATGGCTCGAGAAAGGGGAATTGTTGAGTGGATGGGGGGAGGTGGAGGGAGTGTGGCTGAAAGTTATAGCTTATAGCGTCTTTTTTCTTATAGCTAACATTCTTGTTTGAACGATTTCAGAAGCCATTTTTTGATACAATTGTGCTGGGGCAATTGTGCTCATTTTAATCGGAATTCTATCAGATTTCCTTGTGATACAAAAGAAATTCCTGGCTTTTTCTCATTACAGTATGCTGAAACAACGGCTGAAACAACGACTGAAACAACGGCTGAAACAACGGCATGAACAACAACAACAGCTGAAACAACTCAGCTGAAGGATTTGAGTTGAAAAAAAAGCTGAACACTTAGCTGAACATTTAGCCTTTTGGGATACTGTAATATCGAAAGTTTACAAGATCGAGAGTTCGAAAGTTAACAAGATCGAAAGCTCGAAAGCTCGAAGCTCGAAGGCTCAAAAGCTCTAAAGTTCGAAGGCTCGAAAGCTCGAAAGCTCGAAAGCTCGAAAGTTTACAGGATCAAGGCTCAAGTCCAGTCATTTTTAGTCGATTTTCAAGTCTTCTCAAATCTCACCTGATTTGTGGATGGATAATTCCATTGATTGTGATGTGGCAAGCCGGTCATCTCGAATTGGTTATTCAGGAATAAGCCGAAATGGTTGATCAAGCATGTCCAAAAAAAGGCACTTCTTTTTGGATTGGGATTATCAATGACCCGAGAAGAGACTCCGCCTTTTCTTTGCTTCTTTCTCTCATGAGGCTTTGTATCGATAGAGTCACAGTCGGTTTAGCAAAAGACCCAGCAAAAGACTCAAGTGTCTGGACAGAAAGAGTACTGTAGTTGTGATGATCAAATAAAATACTGTAGTGGGATGAATAGTGGAATAGTGACAGTCATCGAAAACGTTCCCAAGGATATTGTAGTGTCTGTCTGTAGCATAAGGTTACTGTAGTATTCTAATGTAAATGTTTTGTAGATATTAGCGTACTTTCTAAAGCGTAGCCCTTTAAAAAAACTACCGTAATCTAGAAAATGTTTAGACAATGAAAAACAAAAACTTTCGTCTTATTTCTTTATCCCTTCCCCCCCCCCTTGTCTTTCCCTTTTTCTCTCGGGAAGTCAAGGTACCGGATGGCTCAGTGGTTAGAGCAATTGGCTCTAAAGCAAACGGCCAAGGACCAGGTCGAGGGTTCAAGTCGTCTCTTTTTAATTTCCAATTCTTTCACTCCTTTTTTCTTCTCCTAGTTCTTTCAAGGTTCATTTTAAAACCCGAACGATAATGAATCTTTGAAGATTCAATAAAAAGCTTTTCTACAGCTTCTACAGCCTCTACAACTTCTACAGCTTTTCTACAGCTTTAATACTCCTGATTTT